TTTTTTTTTTTTTTTCCCATTCCCCATATTTATTTTTGTAAACGGAAAAATTTAAAACATGTCTCCCCCCCCCCCCGGGGGGGGGGGGAGGGGGGGGGAGATTTCGCTCACGTAACGTCGGTTGACGCCCTCTTCGTCTATAAAAAAGGTGATGACGGGTACTTTTTAAAAATGTTTAAAAGTACTGTTTACTGTATATAAATTCGAAGTGGCTATAGGTACCCGATAAAGATATTAGTGACCTTGTTTCGATTGACGAAAGCTTATGCTAAATCATGGGAATTACTCAGTAGTGTGGCTCAAATTAAATCGTAAAGATCATTGTGGTGCATATTATAATTAAGTTAAAGTTTTGAAAGAAATTATCTTTTTTCATTTTAAGAACCAGGACCCAGGACATCAATGACATCATAAATCTTTCATTCATAATATTATTCTTCTATCATTAATTGATTCACTTTGTTTAATTATTAGTAGGCCCTACTTCCTTTTTTTTTAGTTTAGCTACTTATATTATATTATTTATATAGAATAGTTATTGTGTAGCCTTTATTCATTGCATTATTTTAATTTTAGTAAGCTTTTGAATTTATATAAAACATTTGTTTTTTTTGCAGTGCTTCTTTTATTTATTTATTTTTTAATGAAGCCTGTTTTAAAGTAAAATATATTTTGTAAAACTAAGTCTTGGCCCTTGGCCTATTGTTTGCCTTGATTTCAGAATGAATCAGATGGTGATGGACACTACTATAAGTTAGTATTTTATAGGCCTAAGCATAATTTTTATTAATGAAGGGCTTGGAATTCGTTAAGTAATTGTTTACATCTTTCAAAATCATTAAGTTTGACTTTGAATTTTGAATCAATTTCACTCTGTCTATTTTTAGTTTCTAGTGAGCCTAATAGTAAATACAGACATAAATCAACACATAACACAAACAAGTTAACAAACAAGGCATAACGAAAAAATGTCATGATAATTTAGATAAAAAGATAATCACCATCAGATAACAAGATTTGAGAAGAAGGTGTGTAGGCAGTTGTATAAATTCATACAGGCCATTGAACATATTATTTAATTATGGATTAATATTTTAAAAACCTATAGTTATCAGGCTACAATGATTTTTTTTTAATGATTAATAAAATACCTCTACTAATTCTGTCATGTTCATATCTTTTGGTTTGGTGTTTTTCTTAATCATTTTTTCATGATTTAGCTAAGGTCCTATTAGTTTAAGGAAAACATCTGTATTTACTCTTTTATTTTCCTTTAAAAATCTTAAAATTTAGTGGTAAGGTTTCTTATTAATGTTTATCTAATTTTTTTAAATTATAAAATTTAATATTTTTAAAAATATTGGCATAATAACAATCTGCAAAAATTTGCACTTTCTTGTTGCAGGTATTTTTTCTCAATCAGATCTTTTGAAACATGGACAACGGCTTGACGGAAGAAGCTGAAACTACAGAGTTCAAAAAGAAAACTAGGCAACGTAATAAAAATAATAAGAACTCAGCTTCTACAACAAACAAATTAGTATCAAATAATGATACAAAACACAGAGAAAAAAATTCAGAGACGTCTAAATCTAAAAATATTAAGAAAGCGAGGAGGAGAGATGATCGATACTATGGCAGATTTCATTGTAAAAATTGCAAGAGACACTGGGAAAGTGCGCATGTTTATACAGTTGGAGGGACCAAAATGGTAGTGTTCCTATACAGATATAGTTTACTTAATTAATATAAATTATATTTTTTTATCAGCAGACAATTGCTTACAGAAATATAAAGATATTTTTTTTAATTAATTTTAATTTTTTTGAGTCTGTGTAGCTGTACACATAAATGCATAGAATACATTTCTGCCATTTGTTTGTCTGAAAACATTGTGGCAGGTTTTTGTAGGCAGAGTGTGTTACACATAATTTTGTCTTCTAATTGTTTACAACAGGAGTACAAATTTATTGTTTGCTGATGATATATCAAATTTTTAAAATGGGTAAACCTGTACAAATGCAAAAAATGAGGTGCAATTATTTTTAAAATTTTTAGCTTATTCAATAATGCATTTTATAAAATGTTCACAGGTTAAATTCCGACAGGCTTGCAAGCAGTGTAAAGAATATTATTTTCCCTACCGCCTCCAAATATTAAGATGCAGTCAGTGTATGAATGAGCCTTGTACATGTGTTTGTGAAGATTGTGGAAAGTTGAGACATAAAAGATACATTTCTTTAAAAATATCTGACACGGATGACAGTGAGGAGGAAGAAGCAGGTAGGATTTTTATGTATAGGACACGGACCAAGTGTTTTCTATAAGAAATATAGTTTACATTTAGAAACAATAAGATGAATAAGTTAGTCTTTAGGCATTTAGTGGATTTATATCGTTTATTTCAAGTAGTCAATGTGGGGATGTTACATTCTGATTTGAATTTTAAACGTCAATAAATTTTGACTTCTAATTAAGGTAATACATCATTAAAAATATATAAATTCTACAAAACAAGTTTTATTGAATGTGCCATTATTATTTTATAATAATTACCCATTTAATTTTCCACTGGACTAAACTAAACAAACTGGGTCTGACTTGCTTTATATTTAAAGCATTTGGGCAATCTTTACTGATTCAGTTTTCATAAATAAAGACAGTTTATATTTTCATTTTTAAAAAGAATGCTATTTAATTATTTTCTTTTATAATCATTTTTGACAGCTGATATTCAATAAAAAAAAAATTTCTTTCAGAGGATCCTGCTTATGAATATTGTAGGTGTGATAGAAGAAAAGATTCTCCAGTTGGTGCAACTATTGATCCCAAAAAGAATCACCTGTCTAACTTATGTGAAAGATGTCAAAAAGGAATTAACTGCATTTTTCGCAGGCATCCTTCAGATAATGACCTTGAATAATATCATCTTTACGTTAGCTGTTTTAAAGATTTTAAGAAATTAATTTATTTGCAGGCCTGTCATTATTTTATTTGAAATTGAAAATCAAAGCAATTTAACTAAATGAAAAACTTAAATTTTAATTAATAAAGCATAGTTAATGATTTTATGTATTAAATACTATTTACTTAGTCAAGCGTATTTAAAACATAATTATTAATTAATTGCTATTAATATTTATTCACTTGATAATGTTATAACTGTTCCACGTGCGGATAAAAACTTGCTTAAACCAAGGGGAGTAACAATCATCCCCCCACCCCTCCCACCCCAAAACCTTCCAAACAAACAAAAAAATTGCTTCTACTGTATATATTGTGGATTAAAATGGCTAAACAAAATACATAAATTATACTGAGGGCACTATTTAAATTATATTAATTTTTATTCAGTCTTGTAAGATCTTGTATTCTTGAAAGACAAAGTTAATTTAATGAACTGGTAATTATTACTTGCCCTTTTATTACATTGAATCAAATATTTATAAGGGCAGGTTAAATCCTTAAAATGAAATTATGGAATTTGAAAAAAAAAATTTGTTTCAGTTATTAGAAATCATGTTAAAAATCAATTTTGAGATATTTTAAAAATCAATATTTGTGAAAAGTAATGCTTATGATCAAGTATAGGGTTGAGATCTCAGGTACATATTGACACAGAAACTTAAAAATTTGACATGTTGTAGTACTCTGTGATGTTATAATTGTTTAGTAAAACATTTTTAGTAAAGTAAAAATGGAATTTACCTGAATTGATCCAATATCCGTGTTCTTCTATGAAAAAATCTTATGTTTTTAATCAAGTTAAATAACCTTACTAAACTAAACAACAAATATATAAATAAAATCCCCTCCAATTTATATTGCTATTCGTTTAGTAATTTAAAAGTTAAAGTGTTTGTTTGATGTGAAGGAAAGACATGTAAAAATGTATCTTGCAAAGGAATATTTTATCAATGAGGCTGTGAATTATAGTAAGATTGAAGCACATCTTTTATTCTTTTGTGCTGATAATCAATTAATCTTTGTGATATCCTGTATTGAATATTATTTTTTTGCCAATTATTTCAATAAACCTTACATACATTATGTTCTTTCTTGTCTAAAATTGTCCAAAAATAGAATGACATACTTTATGGACAGGTCAAGTTGTGTACACTTTATTTTTAATTTTGATGTCTTGCAATAAAATAGTTTATGATTATGTGACATGAGAAGCATCTGTTCTGTCTTTTATTGTAAAGACTATATAAATAATTTCTGTTGTTTTCACCCATCAAATGTGACCAAAAAATTTTAATGTATAACTGCGGTCCATTCTCTGAGACATTTTATTCAAAATTACCTTATTTTTTGGGTGACCTTTTTTCTATATTCTTTATTCTTCATGAGTCCTACGTGTAAGTTGTGGGCTATCTCGTGGGAATAAAATCTGGGTTAGAAACAAATTCTAGAAAATTTCTACTTGGTACTGGTAAGGGTGCACATGTACCCTTGTGGGTTTATTTGAAACCAAATATCATCTTCCATGGCCGAAAGGTTTTTTAACTATTTTGTCGGGACAGAGCAATCCAACTAATTTAAGTAGTTTTTTTTGCACTTTGAATAAATTCTGAGATCAGTAATAATATGAAAATAAACTATACAAACCTTCATTGTGTTCCCATTGTTTAACTTTGGAGATTTATTTCCCTTTAATTCGTACTTGCATGCTTTTTATTTTTTCTTCAAGGTTTTAATAATACTCTTCTTTGTTACAATCAGGACCGTGCGAATGGGGCACTCGCTCTGAGGGCCAAAATCGTCTTTAGATAGGGCCTTTATAGCTTATAGTGAATTGCATGTACTTCAAAAAGACGCCAAAATCGTTTTAATGGTCCGCCACCGGGTGACACTTTTCCGTGGTGTGGCCTTGGTCAGGGGCGTGCAGAGGATGTTTGTGCCCTGATCAAATCCGAATTTCGCCCCCCCCCCTCCCCCCAAATCTCCACACACACTCAAATCAAAATAATTGTTTCATAGGTTTTTTGTGAATTTGAGACAAAGGATACTTTATTGAAACACTTCACTGGTTCTTCATTGCTATATTTCATCCACGGGAAGAGCTATAGCCTAAGTGCTGCCGAGGGTGGGTCATGATTTCTTGTCCGCCCTTCCATATGAAGAAAGTTAAAGAAAAACATCCTTAGGTTAAATACTCAAACACAAATCTCAATATGTTTAATAACGAACTGTACGGCCGTCATACAAACTTTTATTTCGAACATATATTTACATATAAGACTACATGTTTAGACGCATCAGATTATTAGGGCCATTTTTCACTCTAACTGCATTTAAAGGCCTTAAGTGTGACTGTTCCACTTTTAATGGAATATGTTATAGCATTATATTATAAAAATGAAAAATTTGTTGTTGTTTTTGTTGTTGTTTTTTTTCTTTGTTCAGCATACGGATTTACGTCGATTGAAGTTGAAGGATCTAGACTAGACCAAACTTGACACACATATCCATCGATATCAAGAATGAAATACCGGGGGTTTTGGGGGCAACAGGGTGTTATTCAATTTAATTGATAATGTGCCAGAAAGATCTATATTGTTTCCAGTTGCGTAGCTAGGGTTGGTGTCATCCGGTGCGGTAAATTCATGGTGTCTAGTGATGAAGCGATGAAAATACTAGTTTTTGAGAATTTCTGGTATATTGATATATATTTGGTTTCAAAAACCTTTTTTAACAATTTAAATAAATTATTAAAGAAATAAGAAAAATGTGCAAAATATTATTTTGTAAACCCTTTAAATGAGTAAAAAGTCATTTTTAAAATGATTTTAATTTTTATCGATTCGATTCAGGTAGGCTACTTATAATCGCCTGACTACATCGTATTTGATATCAATTGAAAGCTTTATAAAGGCTCTTGAGAGCTTATATATATATTATATATCATGACTGCTACTTCTTGTTTGTTTCCGTCCCATTATTTTTGATTTACTTTTGTTTATTCTTACGTCGCTGACGAAGGCTTTCTGCCGACACGTTCGCTGTTTTGTTGCGTGTATTTTTTCAGGTTTAACCCTACTCTGTTTTAATCATTTTATTTTGTACTAACCTGATTGCAGTCTCTCGCCTTATTACTCCGGTATTAACTTCATAACACGAAAGTTACCGAACTCTTAAATCGGCGTTATGAAAAATGGAGTTTTTCTGACCTATTTATAGATTCATCTCATTTTTAACGCATCATTTTTAATTCTAAATAAAGCACGCAATTAGACTGGTTATATGTGTGAAAAATTTAAGAGTGATCGGTTTCCCTGTAATGAAATTCGATTAGGCCGAGCAGTTTGTGTTCTGTAAATATGCATTTTTTTTTTCCATTTGGTGTCACCTCCTGGGATGGTGTCACTGATTGTTTCACGGGGATACGTAGTGGGATCTAAAAGCTTATTGAATTGTTAGTTTAGTTCTATTCATTTCTCTACTTTCATGTCGTATCAATGAGTCGACTTTTTATAAGTTTCATGAAATTTCTAGATTATTTTAAAACGTTCGATTTTCTTCTATAACTGATTTAGGAATATATAAATGCACTTATTATGTTAATTATGTTTAATAATGAACATAATAAGCTCCTTCTAAAGTTATGAAATAAGAATAAAAGAAAATTTTGGAGGTTTCTAGAAAGTTAAAAATGTATTTTCATTACTATGGCTTAAGATATATACCAGTACATAGGTGAAGTTGAAGGCTAAAAATACGCTGTTAGTCTATTTGTAGATCTTGGCAAAAGTTGATAAACATGCCCTTAATCAGTGGCGTATGTAGGGTTGGTAGCATGCCCTTAATCAGTGGCGTATGTAGGGTTGGTAGCATGCCCTTAATCAGTGGCGTATGTAGGGTTGGTAGCATGCTCTTCATCAGTGGCGTATGTAGGGTTGGTAGCATGCCCTTCATCAGTGGCGTAGGTAGGGTTGGTAGCATGCCCTTAATCAGTGGCGTATGTAGGGTTGGTAGCACCAGGTGCGTTAAACATATGGTGTATGTAGGGTTGGTAGCATGCTCTTCATCAGTGGCGTATGTAGGGTGGGTAGCATGCCCTTCATCAGTGGCGTAGGTAGGGTTGGTAGCATGCCCTTAATCAGTGGCGTATGTAGGGTTGGTAGCACCAGGTGCGTTAAACATATGGTGTCATGCCCCCCCCCCGCCCCCCCCCCTTTTTTTTTCCCCCGACTTCCACGATGGATTTCTTCTTCTTAAAATAAGTCCATAGTATAACAATTACAAGAACAAGTAAATGGTGAATCTAAAGCGGATGTCAGGGCTAGAATTGGAAAGTCTATGTCAGCATTTGTGCTATTAAAGAAAATATGGGAGTGAAAAGAGCTGACTCGACAAACCAAATATATAATTTTCAACACAAATGTCAAAACAGTTCTACTATATGGAGCCGAAACTTGAAGAACAACAGTGAACATCTCAGAGAAAGTTCAGACCTTCATAAACACTTGCCTTAGAAAGATCCTGAACATCAAATAGACATCACCAACAAAGACTTATTTTAATGGACATACGAAGAGGCTTTATTGTTGAAGACGTCATAAAGAAAAGATGGAGGTGGCTATTGCATATTCTTCACAAACCCCAAGAGAACATCACCAGACAATTCCTAACATGAAATCCACACGGGAAAAGAAAGAGAGTAAAAAATACATGGAGACGCGAGCTAGAGGCAGACACACAAAGTACGAGATACACCTGGAAGCATCTGGCAAGGAAAGCAAGGAACGAGATGAATATAAAATTATTGTAGACGCCCTTTGCCCCAGACGGGGTAAAAGGCATAATTAAGAACCTTCTCCCCAGAATTTTTTTTATTATTTCGAAATCTAGAGGTTACATTAAGAAATGTTACATTAAGAAATAGCGTCAGCGGGGCGAGTCTAGACTCTTATGCCCCCCCCCCAAATTACCCCTCCCCGGGCCGACGTATCGGGCCGCGGAGCGGCACGTTGGAGATGCCCACTCGTCAGGACGCCCCCACACGAGCCCCTCACCCAAGTCCCTCACCTGGGCGCTCGACCAGGACCCCGTCTGGGGGCCGCCCCAACGAGGAGGCACCCGGTCGATCCGACACTATGCGTTTAAACAGTGCACTCGATGAACTTTCTCAGGAGTTGGGATGGAAAAATGTACGTCCTAATATCTTCCCCCACCCATCCCGGGAAAGCGTCGGACGCCCTATAAGAGGGATTCCACAGTGGGCTTCCACAACGCGACTAGTTCACGCTGTAGCTGGGACGAAACGGTTGCCTAGGGGGAGCGTTCTTACGGCTGCATTATTTGAATCCTCGGCCAGAGGTTACCACCCTCACCTCTGGCCTCATACCCGTCAACGGCAACTTGTAATCATGATCCCTACCCTGGCTCTGCCTAACTTTCCGACTGCGAAATAACCCAACCGGCAGCCCTGTGGGAGCTGTTTTATGCACGGCAGGTACCGAGCACACCCTTTGTCTGCCCACGCGGGGCGTGCCCAGTAGTTATGTTTTCAGGCAAACGCCGAGGGGGTCGGTGGCCGACGCTTCCTAATCAGCAAGCCATAGCAGACTTGTCAACCTGAAACCTGGAACGAAATCTAGAGGTGCATTTTGGGAATTCACTATTTCTAAAGACTTTTTGATCAGGGGAAGGAAACTTTTAATGGTCTGGGAGGTATCATGGTGCCAGTGTCACACATAAACTGAATTCAATTCAGTTGTGGCGTGCCCCCCCCCCTCCAGGGTACTTAGCACAAGTTTATATTCAATGCAATACTTTACATTTATCAGCCTGAGGGAAGTACAGTGTTTCTTTCAGAAATTTTCCCCCGGAGGGGCACTTCAGATTTTTTTTTTTTGGGGGGGGGCACTTCAGATTTGGGGGGGGGGGTGCAGTGCCAGCAGCTCCAGTTGATTTATTGTTGGACATATTTTTGCTCTGGGGGGCACTGCCCCTCCCCCGAGATATAGCTGAAAGAAACCATGGGGAAGTGGTGCAGAAACTGAAGGGGGCTGAAGACAGGCGCGCAAATTTAAAATAGAGGGGTGCATGTCGGCGCATACTTGAATTCGGTGTTTATTTCAGAAAATTTGGGGGTGGCATTTCAACATTTCATGTGGGAAGCGCCAGAATTAGCCATAATAATGATCAAAGACATCTTTAACGCCGCACCAGCGGAATATGAATTAAATTCATTCCAGTTGTGGCGCCCTTGAGGGCGCATCTTCCCTAGCTTAATGTCGCCTATTAAATCTTTATTATCCCAAGAAAATTTTGTTAAATTTAAAATACAATAAAGCATTTTAGCACATACTTCAATTTAGTTTTGCAACATTCTACACTTGGAGAACAACGGAAGAGATGCTAGTTAAAAAAAAATGTAGTTATCACATAAGCTTAGAAACATCGTGTGAGCACAGCAACAACTACGACTGCAACGGGCCTCGGTAACTTTAGGGGCTTAAAGATGTGATGTGGATGTTTTCTTACTTATAATTTTTTTAATGCAAGGTGGGGATGACAAAACTAAAACGTGGCAAGCTGCCTCGAAAAGTCGAGCGACGGCTCTGCTTGACCCGAAGTCGAGCGACGGCTCTGCTTGACCCGAAGTCGAGCGACGGCTCTGCTTGACCCGAAGTCGAGCGACGGCTCTGCTTGACCCGATTGTGCTATGCAGATTTTTTTTTATACAAATGATGTATTGTTGGCATTGCTATGTAAAGAAGACATGAGTTGTTTACAAAATAAAGTATAAATCGCTCAATATTCAGTTGATTAAAATTTTTATTTGGAATTTAAAACTACTCTAACTTTTTTTCAGATAAATTTCAAATTGCCACTATATATAGGCCTACTTTAAAACATTTTTTACCAAATCCACAGATTTTATTTTAAATTGACTAATTAGGAATGGGCTACGAATTTTTTTCTAAAACAAGTACCAAAAAAGGGGGGGGGGGGGGGGGGGGGGGGGTGGAATTGGAATGATAATCGAAATGCTAGTTCACAAAAAAACGTATCTTTTTTTTTAGCTTCCCTATAGATTCTCATCTAGAAAAAATATTAATTTTGCTTGAAAATCGTGCAAGTAGAAGTTTGTTTATTATTCTGATATTTTCAAGACTAATGCATTTGGGAATTTAATAAATATGGTCTAGTCAAGGCATTTTTTTAAAATATAATTTTTAAAAGTGTTTAGTCTAACTCTTGTTATTTAGGATACTTTGTTTTCAAAAGATGTACATTTTAAGAAAACACAAACGCTTTTGATATAATAATTGATTAAATGTGGGCGTTAAATTCATAATTTAAAAAAATATATCTCTATTATTTAAAGTTTCCATTTTATTAATTCAATATTCATGGAATTGAGTAGGCCTACATTTATAATAAGATCTATGTTATAATATGTTTAAAGGCTTACATTTCAACATCATCATACAATTTATAATTAACATCTGCCCCTACTTTTAAATTAATGCTTTTATAATGAAATATAATTTGAAAATAGATTGTGCATGTTTGATACGTAGCAAGAACTATTATTAGAATTGTGTAGACCTTGATATTTAGTCAGCAAGAGGCATAAAACTGAAATGTGGCAGGGGGAGGGGGGGCTCTAAAATTGACACGACATTAGTCTGTTTTAGCAGATTTTGTAGAAATGTTTAGACATTTAAACTAATTTCGAATGCAACTAAAAACGAAGTTGTAAAAATGTCCCATTATAGGTCTATCTGGGAGCTAACTCAGATCTCTCCCTATTTTTAAAATGTGTGATAAAATGGCGACTTTAGCATGGAATATTCGTATATTGAGAACGAAAAGATATTTGCTCGTGACTGAATGTATTAATGTTGGAGCATCTTCTAGAAATTATTTGAAAAGCTTTACAGTCAGTTCTAGGGAAATTCCGGAGTCCAATAGCAGTAGTAGGTCCATTAAACTATTAATGAACATAACACTGTACAAGAGTTTATTTAATAATTTACATTTACTAACAACCTTCAGCACTTCAGTGCGGTGAATCATGTATTAGTATTAGTTGCTAATATAATTAATAATATATATTTTATTTGATTCTGTCATAGGCCATTTTATAGTACACATTGAGTTGATGTACAGGAATATTATTATGTGTAACTTTTCTCTAATATGCATCTAAAATGCCTTGCCTTGTAATTGTAATAGTTGTAAGCCTTGTTCGGCAATCCTCCAAAGTCCGGTCCCAAATTATTTCCAATGATTAATCCTTACTTAAAAGTCTTGGGCATCATTCTGTTTTGAACCTCATGTTTGCGTTAGTGGACGATGTTAGATGGAGGTTGTTGGCCGTCCAGATGCACAAACACTCAAGCGCATTATCACTAATCATGTGTTACCAGGAACAACTACCGTCACGGGCGCTTGGCGAGGATATCAAAATGTCGGTCAGCTCAACAACGGGATTTATGCTCACGCTGTCATTGTGCAGGAGCGTGAATTTGTTGATCCAGTAGACCAGGAGATTCACACAGAAACTATTGAAGGATTTTGGATGCAAGCAAAACGTAAACTCCACTATCAGAGTGGTAGGCCCGCTAGTCGCGATCTGTTTGCCAGCTACTTGGGGGCCTTTCAGTGGCGCAACAGTCACCAGCAGAATGCTTTCGGCTGGTATTAGCAAATGCTATGTGCCAATGACAACATTTAGTATTTACTGACTGGTTTGTAAAGTGACAGTTATTTGCAAAAGCTATGACTATGACTGACATTTCTGCTGTTTTCTAACAATACACACTGTGCATTGCAGTTTTTTTCAGAGGATTGCCCCTTGTTCCTTTCTTCGTAGGTCATTTATTATCAAACCAGCCTACTCTTATACCAGTGGTTCTCAACCTTTTTAGACCCTTTTATACAGTTTCTTGTGTCGTGGCGACCCCCAGCCACAAAATTATTTTCGTTGCTACTTCATAGCTGTAAGGATATGTGTTTTCAGTTGGTCTTAGGCGATCCATGGGAAAGGGTCCCGCGACCCCCAAAGGGGTCGCGACCCACAGGTTGAGAACCGCTGCTCTATTACTCTATTGTAAGTTTGCTGAAATACTACCGGTACTACTTTTTCTGCTTCCCTTTATCTTTTCATAGCATTTTTTATTCTATCCCCCTGTTCATTAATGTTGCTTTCCTTTTTATTTCCTCCTGTGACTGTGATGCTTCTAGTTGTGCCTCTACTTCATTTCGGTAAGCTTTTGTCTTTGTGGTTTGTGGGTCTTTGGTAAGTTTTTGGTAATTATATCGTTTTTCTCTTTGATTTTGGCCTTTGGGAATTATGCTTATTCTCTGCTTATATGTAACCCTTACAAGTAGATTGTCAGAGTCTGCATCTGCTCCTCGGTAGCTTCTTAAGCGTAGAATGTCTGATCCATCCCACCGATCGATAAGAACAGGCCTGCACAACTCAAAATGTAAGGCGGGCCGTAATACTTAATGAAAAGCTTGTGCTGGCCAAAAGAAAATAGGACAAGGGGAAAGCTATTAAGAAAATAATAAGAATAAAGAATATTTCGTTACTTCGCTGGCCGCAAAGTGGGTGCTGGCACGCGTGCCATATGTTGTGCAGGCCTGGATTAGAACATGGTCAGTTTGGTTGCGAGCGATTCCATCTGTTGATTCCAAATAACTTTAAAATTTATGTAAATTTTTGTGTGAAAACTTGCTGCTGCTGTCATCCCTGTTCCTGAAGCAAAGTCTGTGAGTCAGATTCCATTGTCATTGGATTTTTTGTGCAGACACTCCTTGCCAATAGTTGGTTTACATACTTTTTCTTTCCCTATTTTGGCATTGAAGTCACCAATCACTATTTTAATATAATGTTATGGTGCCTTATCATAGATCTTTTCCAGTGTCTCATATTCTCATAAAAGGATTCCTTTTTTTTTTTTTTTGATCTTCTGTATCTTAGGTGGGAGCATGAACATTTAGAAATGATGTTAAGCATTTTTCCTTGCAAATACAAAGGGCACACTTTTTCATTCTCTGGTTTAAAACTATAACTGCACCAACGGCTTCTCTCTTCCCAGCAAATCCTTTTCCAAGAAAGTATTGTGTAGACTTTTGTGCCTTATCATAGTTCTTTTCCAGTTTCTTTTATTCTCATAAAAGGATTCCTTTTTTTTTTTTTTGATCTTCTGTATCTTAGGTGGGAGCATGAACATTTAGAAATGATGTTAAGCATTTTTCCTTGCAAATACAAAGGGCACACTTTTTCATTCTCTGGTTTAAAACTATGACTGCACCAACGGCTTCTCTCTTCACAGCAAATCCTGTTCCAAGAAAGTATGGTGTAGACTTTTGTCTTGAGGATGTCTGCTCCATGGAAGATCAGTGTCTATGCACAAGAAGCTAGGGTTTAGGGTACCGGTACATGATTACAGCTGCCTCTGCTGGAGTGTATTGTACATAAAAAAGGTTATCAATGACTAAATTTTAACCCAACTGAGGGCTTATTAGCCGTTTCCCCATCATTAGCTTTTTCTATCTGATGTATTACTGAACTTAGGGAGAATTTAAACACATTAGGATTTATAGTGATCAACAGCTCTGAGGAAACCTTTGCAAGAAGACACCAATGAAGATTCTCCTATCTGCGTCAACAAAAAAATATAGGATTTCATTTTTCCCCTCGGGATGGCGGTCATAGTGATCCGAAATAATTATGAAATAATTGTTTTACAGTACTGTTTTTTTTTTTAATTTGTCATTGTTAGTCATGACTCATGAGCTTTACTCTATAGCAGAGATGTGCAACGGGTGTCCCACCATACAATTCTAGGTGTTCCAAATTTCTTCAAGAGGATGAAAAACACATAATTTTTTTTAAAACAGAGATGTCATGGATGTGCTACAACAAAATAACAAGCTTTGAAATGTTGGAAGTCAAATAGTACAGACTACAGCACATCTGCATGATTAAAATTAGCAGGTCATTTGAAAATTCACCATCCAACGTGACTTCTTCTTCTTTCTTCTTATGCTTTTTACCCCGTCTGGGACAAAGGCCATCCACAAGAATTTTCCACTCATGATGGTCCTGTGCTTTCCTTACCATTTGCTTCCAGGTGTATCCCATATGTCTGCCTCTAGCTTGCATCTCCATGTATTCTTAGGCCCTCCTTTCTTTCCTTTTCCCTGTGGATTCCGGCATTGTCTGGTGATACTATCTGGGGGTTTTCGGAGAGTATGCCCTATCCACCTCCATCTTTTCTTTATGATGTCTTCATCAATGGGCACCTGGAATGTCCTTTCTAGTAGATCTTTCTTAGTGATGATATTTGGCCATTTGATGTTTAGGATCTTTCTAAGGCATGTGTTTATGAAGGTCTGCACTTTCTGCCTAATGCTCGCTGTTGTTTTCCTAGTTTCTGCTCCGTATAGTAGGACTGTTTTGACATTTGTGTTAAAGATTCTGATTTTGGTTTGCAGCTTCAGCTCCTTCGACTCCAATAATTTATTAATAGCACAAATGCTGATCTAGCTTTTCCAATTTTAACCCTTACATCCGCGTTGAATTTGCCATTTATGTCAATGGTGCTGCCTAAGGATGTGAAGGACTCCACTTCTTCCAGTGCCTTTCCTGCCAGAGAGATATGCTCTTGGTTGGCTGAGTTTACCTTCATGATCTTCGTCATGCTTTTATTTATATTGAGTCAGAGCTGAAATGGTGGCTATGTCTTTTGTCTTTTCCCGCATTTGTTGCTGGTTGTGGGACAGAAGTGCAATGTCATCTGCAAAGTCTAGGTCATTCGGTTGTTCCCAGAGTGTCCACCATATCCCATTCTTCTTTTTGTCTGTGGATTTTTTCATTATCCAGTCAATGGTGAGGATGAAATCCTAAGAACTCTGAATGATCCTGACTAGTTTCCCTGGTACTCCATAGTGCTGAAGCAGTTTCCACAAGGTTTGTCGGTCCAGGCTATCAAAGGCCTTTTCGTAGTCTATAAAATTTACATATAGGGGGGAGTTCCATTCGATGGACTGTTCTAAAATGATTCTTAGTGTTGCAATTTTATCTGTGCATGATCTGTTTTGGTGGAAGCCAGCCTGTTGATCTTGTAGCTGCATGTGGACCTGGTCTTTCATTCTCTTCAAAATAATTCTGTTAAAGATCTAACCTGGTACAGACAGCGGTGCTACTCCTCTGTAATTTGCACAATTGCTGATATCCCCTTTCTTTGGTATCTTGATGAGGTAACCCTTACAATCTTTGGAACTCTCTCTTCTTCCCATATTTTTTCAAACAGAGGGTAAAGCATGTTTACTATTGTATCTATATCAGCTCTCATCATCTCTGCTGTGATGTTATCCGGTCCCGGTGCTTTCCCTAATTTGAGCTCCTTGATGGCCAGAGCTATTTCCTCCTTATTTGGCTGTCTTTCTTCTATTTGTAAGTCTTCATTTGCTGTTTGTATGTCTGGTTGATGGCCAGAGCTATTTATTCCTTATTTGGTGGGCTTTCTTTTATTTGTAAGTCTTCATTTGCTGGTTTGTATGTCTGGTGTGTCTGTGGGTGGGGGTCTGTTTAATAGTTGCTTAAAGTATTCCACTCATCTTTTTGTTGTTCTTTCCTTTCCGTTATTGATCTACCTTCTTTATTTTTTGACAGGTCTTTCCGGCCTTTTGTATCTTCCTGACAGCTTCCTTGTTATGTCATAGAGCTCTTTCAAGTTGTCCTTTCTGGCTGCTTCTTCTGCTGGTGCGGCTGCTGATAACTACACTTTTTATTTCTTTTCTCTCTTTTAATTTTTACAGTGTGTTAAGTGAGAGCTAATCTTTGTGTTTCTGCTTCACTGATCCTAAAACCTCTTGGCAAGTGGATGTTATAGACGTCTTTATATTTTGCCATTTATGTTCTACTTGGTTATCTTCTACCTTCTCTTCCAGTGCTTGAAACTGATTTCCTAAGGTAGCACTGAATTCCTCTCTTTTCTGCTCATTTGCCAGAAGTGCTTCATTGAAATTTTTTTCGCCTAGCAGTTCCCAATTTTTCTTCAACTTTAACTTGAGTCTTGCCCAAACAAGATGATGATCAGATGCGACATCAGCTACTCTTTTTGTTTGTACATCTTGTAGAGACCTTCTAAATTTTTTGCTAATATGTATGTGACCTATTTGGTTTTGCGTTTTGTTGCCCGGGATACCCATGTTATTAGTTATCTTGTGGATGTTTTTTATGTTGAAATTCGCTGACTCCAAAAACTACCTCATTTGTTGTGCAGAAGTCTGCTAGTCTTTCACTGTTCTCATTCCTCTCTACTGCACCATGGCGTCACATAATTTTCTCATACCCACTGTTTTCTTTTCCGATCTTGGTGTTTAGGTCTCCCATTAATATGTTTAGATCTCTACTTGGGAAATTTTTCTATTATTGCTTGTAGTCTATTGTACAATGTTTCTTTCTTGTCTTCTTTGCTATCATTGGTGGGTGTGTAACATTTTTTTTATGTTCATCTTTATTTTCTTTTTCTTGGTTCGGAAAGTTGCTGTTATTATTCTTGGTCCATGGGCTTCCCATCCCATCAATGCCTCTTGTGCCATCCGTGACAACATAAAAGCAACTCCTTGCATGTGCAGAGCATTTTCCTCCTCATGCCCTGAATACATCAGCATTTCCCAAGACGCCAAAGTTATTTGTCCAGTTTGTATCCATCTTGTTTCACAGATGCCAAGCAGAGTGAGTTTGTAAGTTCTTATTTCTGCTGTGCTGCTTTCCCTGTTTCATACATGGTTCTGACGTTCCACTTGCCTATGTTTGTTTCCTTAGAAAGGAGGGTCTTCGACTTTAAGGCTTCCAGTATAGCCTGGGTTTGGCCACAAGGCTTCATAGCTCTTCTTGAAGAAGAAGAGCCCTCTATTCTCAGTGCTGAAATTTGTTGCTTTTTTTCTTGTTGACGTTTCTGTAGCAATTTGTTTTTACGGATGAGGTAGCTGGCCTCACGCCAACCCTTCCTCTTTTGCACCCGGGCTTGGGACCGGCCTTGGCGGAGTTCCAATGTGACTTCGCCGATTAAAATATCTCCCTTTCACTTGGGCCTTTCATCATTCACTTTCCAAGCCTGTACTTCGTAATTCTTCGACTAGGTGTTGATTGCTGGTTATTTACTTTTTTTAAAACTGCTGAGGTAACATTTCCTCAACGATAAATGGCAAAAAAAAAACCAAAGCAACACAAAGCCCCATCCTGTCCAAACTGAAGGTAACGAAGATCTATTGTCTGATCTCTTGATATAGGCAAACAAGTGTTTATCCGGGGACATGTACCAGTATGCAGTTTTTACATTTTTAAAAAAATATTTTCCCTATAATTCTGTTCTGGATATATTCCAGTGGAAAAAATATTTTCTACTGGCATCTTCCTTACTTACTCATGCTTTTACCCGCCTGGGGCATCGGCAGTCTACAAGAATTTTCCATTCCTTTCGGTCCGGGGTTTTCCTTTCCAGTTGCTTCCAGGCCTAGCCCATAATTGATGTGTTTGCCTCTAGCTCGCTTCTCCATGTATTCTTAGGCCTTCCTCTCTTTCTTTTTCCCTATGGATTCTATGTAAGGGATTGTCTGGTGATTTTAACTGGAGGTTTACAAAGAGTGTGCCATATCCGTCTTTATCTTGTCCTTATGATGTCCTTAACAAGAGGCTCTTTGTATGTCCTTTCAAGTAAGTCTTTGTTGGTGATGGTGTTTATCTATTTGATGTTCAGGATCTTTCTAAGGCAAATGTTTATGAAGGTCTGAACTTTCTGTGTGATGCTCACTGTTGTTCTCCAAGTTTAGGCTCCATAGAGTAGGACTGTTTTGACATTTTTGTTGAAAATTCTGCCTTTGGTTTGCAGTCAGTTCCTCTGACTCCCAAATTTTCTTTAATGGAAAAAATGCTGACCTAGCCTTCCCAAATCTAGCCCTAACATTCATTATCAGCTTTGAAGAAAATATTTAAGCAAATAGCTCAACTACCAAATGTGTGCCATTTATTAATTTTAATAATAAAAGGTTTTGACAGGAAATTTTTTAAAATTGATTAAAGTAAAGGCAGTTAAAATAATTTGTTTTAACTTTCTCTTGATAGGCTTGGATGCTGAAGAAAAAAGTCTGATTGATTCCTTGAGAAATGTATCACGAATGTCTTCAAACCACCTTAAGCAATACCATCGTCAGCCCCCTGAGCTTCCATACAAAGATATTATCCATAGAAAAAAACTTTATGCCTTATATGGGTCAGCCTCTGGGGAGGATGCAAGAATATTGTGGCCATCAAGAAAACAGTTGATTGATAAAGAACTTGAAGAAAAAGAAGAAGGGTGCTCTTTATTTGATCGATTAGCCCAGATAGAAGTTGAGAAACAAGAAAGAGAAACAGCATTGAAAGAAAGGTTTGTCAAGAAAAATAAATTTTTAAAAATTCAGTTTGGGTTGGGTACCGCATCAGATATTTATTGCTTTACATTCCTAGTGGATAATTTTATCGGAATGCAATAATGTTCCGCCAAAATAAAATAAAAAAAGCATATAATTTTCTTTAAACAGATTTGCTTGTTGGGCTGATTAAATTATAAATAATAAAATTACTATTAGTACCCTCAAATGTTTTAGGTTTTTTTTAAAGATACCAGTAAAACTTAGCAAGCTACAGGTGAATTTATTTGAATCTTTTTTTTTTAATGGAAAAGGGATAATAATAATAATGTACCTTATTATTGTGTTGATGATGATTTTGCATCAGCATGGTCATGAATGATAACTGTTTACTGTTAATAGTAATAGTGTTAGGTACTGGTAAGTACAGCAACTAAATTACAGCCAGGCATTCTTTAAAAATAGGCATGATAATAGCCTCTCATGGATATATAAAGGAATTGTTCATATAATAAGGGGACATGTGCCAACAATATGTTCCTCCTCCATTGTCCACATGTGGCTTACACTTAACACAAACACTCTTTTGGATGTCAGCATGATGCAGGGGTCATCAAACATTTTAAACGGCGGGCTGGATAAGGGAAAAAATGACTAGCGCGGGCCGGATAATAATTCTGTACAAAACTTGCAAGCCAGAACAAACGCTCTTGGAAAAAAAATACGAAAAACTAAGTTTAGTATTTCATGCTAACCATGGGTGAGTGGCGTGCAATGCAAAAAAAGCAAAGATAACCAACAAATTTATTTACAAAGTTAGCAAAGAAGGCGACGTTAGCAAAAAGGTAGTTACGTCAGACTTAGTGCGCAAATATTCAAATCTGACAAACTAAGCAGCAAAAAGGTTAGTGAGATTTATGAAACTGACGTTTGGCTTTCAAGATATCATCACATCAATGTTTGGTTTGGAATTGCTGCATCCAATCAAAAGAATTGTTTTCAAATTTTCATCAATCTCTCTCATTCCATGTGTTGACTTCACATACTTTCTTTTTGAAAATGTTTGCTCACAGACATAAGTTGTTCCATGCATGCTACAAACGGATGCCAAATCTTCGGTAATCTGAAAGTCCGAATTGACACCACAAATAAACACAAGAAGTTGTAAGAGATCAGTAGACTCATCTAGTGGCAGAGAATACCACAGCAAGTTCCTAGCGTTCTCACGTATTTGTAAATGTAGCACTATGCTATGTTCTCTCCAAGTTCTTCTGTTCTCCGCACAACTGAACTTGCCGAAGGGCTGTTAGTTCCAACCGCAGCGACTACAATTTTTGACGTCGCCGTATGATTCCAACACTCCTCTTTCTTTGACCCATTTCCAGTTTTTAATAGTTATTAGACTATAATATATTAGCGGGAATAGGCGTAGTGGAAATTTATTCTTATTTTATAATTCTTTTTTAAACCAGCTTTTCCTAAAAACAACAACCTCGAGTTACTTGGTAGGTTTTTTAAATGATGTCATCATTTGTTAATTAATTCTTCATCTTGTTTTATGCTGATCTGATTTCGAGTTTGAACCACGTTAAATTTCACCAGAACAGACTGTGATAATGTGATCTGTGCGTCCACTCGATATAAATTAATATCAATAGCAAATAAACGTCTGCAAAACAAAGTGAACTCAGATTGTATTATAGACGTCGGTCTTCTACTTTTAGTAGTTTTTTTTTTTTTACGCCAGCCTCGATTCCATTAGGCACTGTGATGTGCGTAATTATTGTATTCATTTAACATACAATATGTTTATTTATTTACTATTAAGATACTGTATTGTACGATTTTGAGACGATATTGTACGATTTTAGGAGTTTGAGGGTAAATAGCGATTTTAGGAGTTTGAGGGTAAATAGGTCTGTAAAAAAAAGAAACTCTAGATACAATAATTTAAATGTGAAAAAGGTAAATTAAGGCGCATAGCAGCCAGGAGGTCTCCGCACGTATGAAGATCTCCCAGTATTCTAAACTTAATATTAAAATTTAAACTGTATCACATCTCATGTTCCATACGTTTTATCGAGCAAGTTCAAGTACCGTCGGCTGGCCGAATGTACTGGCCTCGCAGGCCGGGCCATAGTTTGGTGACCCTGGCATAATGGATTACACACTGCAAAAATCCAGCAAGTATAATGATTATAGGTAGCTAAGCCCCCTAGACTTAAACTTCTATTATTGTAGTCTAATCAATTGAATCATGGTATTAGTCACAAGACCTGAAAATTATTGAAAAACAAATAATTTAAATGCCAAAATTCACATTTTTAAATTTTGTTGGTTAACTACATATTTAGAGTGGTCCCCTTTTGATTAACTTCTTGATGGTTTAAGATTATAATTACTAAGCAATTTTGCAAATATTTATCTGTGATAATCAGCCATAAAGGACATCAACAATTTAAACATACTGGAATACACTCTGTGGGTCTATTGCTTGATGACATTCCCAAGATCCTTCACACCTCCCCCCACCCTTTTTCAAAATTTGAACAAGCCCTCCCTCTCCCCATCTTTGTGAACATCCTTTATGAGCTACCCCATACCTTCTTTAAAAAAGCATTAGGTCTTCCTGTACACTATATTCTGCCAATAGGGTGCCATTATTCTAAATCTTCGTGTTTTATAGCAGTGGAAAGAGTGTACTGTAATGTTTCTTATCTGATACCATACATAATAAATTGATTTAGTCCTTTAACTGGCATACTTATATTTACAATATAAAAAGAGCCCTAAGGTACTGCAACTAAAAAAAATTAAAGGATGCAAAGAAGTTAAAATAATAATGTAAAATAAAGATTTTATTCTCACTTAAACTTTTTTGTTGAATTGTCTTTTTTTTATCCTTTAGACACAAATCAGTTGAAAAAAATATGGCTCAAATGTCAAAATGGATTGAAGGATACAAAAAGAAGCAAGAAGTCTCAGCTAATGAAGCAAAGGCGAGGGCGGCTAAAAAGGAAGCTTTGCTGGAAGAGGCAAGAGACTATTTTGGCTACAAGATTATGGCCAATGATCCTAAATTTGAACAGATGATGTTGGAGAAAGAAGAAAAAGAAAAGAAAGAAGCCAAAAAAATGAGAAAGGAGGCAAAGCTGAAAAAGCAGGCTGATAGATTGGTGGATTCAAAAGAGAAACCAGTAGAAAGTAAAAATACATAGTCATAGCCTCCAGTTTTTACTCTTCACTTTTCTTAAAAGGTACGGGGGTATTTCTATCAAAAGAATTTTTCATTCACAAGCAGAGCTAAGCTTTTCAACAAAAATAGGCAAAAAGCTTGGAGAAAAAACAACTATTTGCACTGCTGCATTAAATTTAAATAAATATTTATAAACTGGTGAAGTTTTCATTTAGTTTTAAATTCTTATTATGTTTTGTTATTAACATTAATTATGTCATTTTCACTTTTGAACATTTTATCTTAGTTTTGTAAGATAGATTTGAACAAAATAATCTTCATAGACCTCATATTTCATGCTCCTGAAGATTATATGATTTTAACGAATATAAAATATTGAAGTGAAACATTAGCTCATGTTACTTGAATGAAATTAAGCTCGAGGAAATTATACCATTGTAGAGAGTGTTTACAATTTCTGAGGGAAACTCTGGTGAAACAATTTTTTTGTGGTGGGGTGTGTGTGGTGTGTTAAATCCTGATATTAAAACTGCTAAAGTTCGTTTTGTGTTAAAGCAAAATCTTCAGATGGCTCATTGACACACTTCCCATCATCCTTAAACTTGCCAGTGACAACACATTTTATCAAATTTTCAGCCCAACCCCTAAAAATCAGTTTTAAGCTACCAGATACCAATGATTTCACAATATAAAATTCCAGATAAACGGCGCCAAATGAGATTCTTACAAGTATCAAAGTGCGTTTGATGCGTAATTTTTTCATTTTACTGGTACTTGTATAGAAATAGCTGCTGTAATAAATCTGCGGTATAAAAGCGGGAAGCGGGTGGAACATCAGAATATTAATATAGTTCAGTGGCATGGAGAAAATATACAGTTGGGAGCACTAATTGTGACTTACTGAGATTTTTATAAAGTGAAAGTGCATTACTTGAATGCATGTTTATAGCCCCAGCCCTACTTATGATCCGTATAATAAATATGTACTGCCACAAAAGGTATAAAATAGAAACCCAGCTTATTTAATGTTAGTGGTTACTAATATGTGCTCAGAGCTGTTTAATTGTTTGGTAGATTTATATTAGTATGTTTAAACTTGTGAAAACAATAGCCAAATATATATTCACCTGTTTAGAGTAGGGGAACTTTACTGACTTAGTTATGTTCATAGTATCATTAAGAATGTTGACAAGAGAAAGAGCTCAAAATAAATTTGCATTTTGAAACACTCATCCAAAACACTAGCCAGATTTACTCAATCTTATACAAGTTGTACTGGTATTGCCATCCAGGATTTCATAACAGTAAATTTTCATAGAAGCCTTCGGTAATGAATTTTGCAAATGATCTTGGGTAACTAACTTGTAAGTAAAATTTCTAAAAAATTGTAGAGAAAAGGAGTTGCATTCTAGCATGAGGTGATGCACACCTGTCTAACCTTGGGATATGTTTGTGTATCTTCCTCAAATTAATTTTTTAATTTTTTTTTTCAAACTGAAAAAAGTACAACAAAAATTCTCAAAAATGTACTTTAATTTATTTTACAACTAAAATTGACAATGTACAACCATCATACACTTAAAGACTAAGGACTGAAAAGAATATTGTATTTGAGAAGTGTTAAAGATGCATGCAAATAATACAAGCTTAAACCCTTTTATATACAATGTCACTTATAGCTGATTACAAACTTGAGTGACAGGTTAGTTCAGATGCACTAGAAAATTTTAGATCTGATATGTAAAGACCAAAAATTAAAATAATAGCATGTAGTTATAATAGCATACCAGTATATGAAATCGGCAAGGTCTGTTTACAAATTGCATAACTTACATCCACTCTTGACATTTAGTACAATTACTACAAAATAAAGCAACCTCCACATCAAATATTTTCAAAAGTAATAGCCATAGTTTGAAATATAAATTAACATATCTACCATACCATGGCACTCTCATCCAATAGATTATTACAAGCTTGATATTTCTAGTATTGCATACATAAATGAAAGAAGAAAAAATAAAATAATTTTCAAAATTATGAATCACTGAATAATTTTTTAACAATATTTGTTACATTACTTAGTGATGAATTTTAATTATCTATTCTTGTAAAATATTTTTTTTACAAAAGTAATAAAAAAAACTACTGATAACTAACTACCGGTATAAAATGAGGCATCTCATAAAAATCTTATTTACAGGTGGCCAAGATTAAAAATGGATTGATTTTAACCAAGGTTTAAGATTTATTGATAATTTTCCACAAATTTTGTTTTTCTATAACTTATAAAAAGCTCTGAATGTTGTGGCTTTTTGGAAGAAAAAAAATAGATTCAGCACAAAAACTTTCACACTCCTAACTTAAAAAGCAATAGAGGTAACAATCACATAGAAATTTTTCCAATAGGTAAATGTTTCTACTGGATCAATAAAAATGAGCTAAACCAATTATTTTTAATGCTACAAAATTGACAAAATTTAATTTGGCTTACATGGAAGAAGCGATTGATACATTTCATTCTGCAGTGCCAAAGGAACATGGTAAATATCACAGTTTACTTGAAGCCAACTCAATTGGAGGTCATCTTGGATCCCATGCCACAGGTGGTGCACTATGTCACAACCATTGCATGATTGGGACAAGCAACAGATTTTGGCCAGCTTAGATCTTGCGCTGAAACACATGACACATTCTGCCACCATGTGAGGTAGTTAAAAAAATACGGAGGAAAAATGAATGTGGGAGGCTGACATTGCACAAAAATCATCACTGAACTAATATGCCATACATTTCCATTAAGATTAAATATTCTGAAAAACAGGATCATATTTAACTTATAAACTGTTAATTACATGATAATCCTGAAACTAGAGACAGAAACTAATATCTCTAGCCATCTAATGTCTCCTTGAGTTAAACTTAAAGGTAACAATTTTAAAGCAAACTTTTTGACTTGGTTCAATAAATTTGGGGAAAAACTATTAAATAAAATGTTAAACATTTCACGAACAATATGGTCCAAACACATACTGGACTATAAGTCTTCAATGTCCTTGATTTACAATTAAACCATTCTATACTGCATGTGAAAGTTACAATGCCAAAATGTGTTGAGATATTTATCACACATACTAAAGGTCATGCAATGATGCAATTAATTCACTGAAGTGCAGTATAAGTTGCAACAGGAATTTATCATATACAACAATTTTAAAACAATACCTTGCTAAATGTAATAAATTTAATTTTTGTGCTCTACATCTAACTTTAATTATTTTTGTTTCAAACTTGCCCAGCTATTAAATCAGATCAAACCCATTCCAGAAAATCAGGTGTAACTATTAACAGTTAGTTACAAGTTCTTAGATCTTTAGGATATTTTAAATACCTATTGCAAAGAAAAAGCAGGTGATCCTTTGCTTTTTAAGATAGCTGTTCTTTTGTGACCCTCCCATTACTGTCTGTTAATGTCTCCGTATCCCAGGCCCTCACCACCCAGCCCACCCTTACCCAATCCCAACCCTTCCCATCTGTTGAGGGGTAGAGAGTGTCAAGAGCGAAGAATGTCCTTATCACCCTGATACCTCTGAAAAGAAAAAGAAATAAATATCAAGAGTAATTTAATTAATACATTTTTATTAATCATTTTTTCCAATAGCAAAAATGAAAGTGTGTTTCATGACCTCTAGGAACACAGATATGACCTATAAAATTATTTTTTTTTTAAAGTTTAAAATAATCACAGGGAATCAAATCTTAAAACATTATTTATGCATAGTAAAATTGATACATTTAAAATATAATTACTAATTCAAACAAATAAGCATAACTTAAAGTTATAAAAAGTACTTATATAAATGAAAAGAGAGAACAAACCTTTAAGATTACTTTTTCAAACACCATAGTTGACAGTCAAACGTTCCTTTAAAGGCTGTGGAAACTGGTCTGAAAATTTAGACCAGTTCTCTTCACCAACCTGAGACTTAAATCCATGAAGTATCTAGCAAAAGAAAAATAGTTATATTAAAAATGGAAGTTGAACATTTTAATAATCTGTGTAAATTAATAATGCTGAGGTCATAGTACGAATACAACTTCATGCTGCTCAGTGAGACAAATTTAAAATCACTCCTCGGCCAGACATTATATCGTCTGTTGACTGAAAATAGTTGCAATATGAAAATAATTGCAATATTTCCAGAGACCAAATATTAAAAAATTAGTTGGTAACCAACCTTATAAAACATATCCTTTAAATCAGGTTTGGGATGCATCCAAGATGCTACAGCATCACAGAAGAAGATAAAGTCCTGGACAACACCAGCAGGGTTTACTCCAATCATGTGACAAACTCCACGAAAGGCTGAGTCTTTCTCTTCATTGTCTCTTATATTGCGTAAGGATGTGCACCTGTGGGAAGAAATGTTTAAAATAAGCATGATCCTAACATTAGCACAATGAGCCTTTTGTAAATTAAAAAAACTTACATCCATTGTGATTTAAGGTTTCAATTAACTAAAGTGAGAAATGTATTAATTTTCATACTTGAAAGATGCCAACCCAAAAGAAAAAATTCTTTCTTATAAAAAAAAACTTACCCTGTTAATATAAAAATATACACTACATATTCACTTTTTTCAAATACTAAAGACTAATTAAATCCCAATGTTTGCGTTCAAATTAATAACTGGGAAAAAACAAAAAAAAATTAGAAACGACAGAATATTCAACAAAAAATAATTATGTCTGAATTTAATGAATGGGGCAAATTACAAAAATTATTGAAATAGGACCATCTCTAATTAGATAAACACACAGGGTAACTAAGGGTTACATCATCAAAAGGTTTCAAAATGAAAGAAGTTAAACCAAAGGAATTGATACCAAATAAAGAAAAAGAAAAATTACCATTGTCTGATAAACTGTTGTAAAAGTGGGGCCACGTCTTGGGGGCAAACTAAGCCCAGTCTCCCAATAGTAATGGCTATGTAACCACGACGAGGACACGATGACAGAACGCACGAAGAAGGCAAATATAATGGGAAGAAAGAACATACAACGATAAACAATACATACATAAAACAATACTTCAAAAAAAAAGAAAAACGAAATGTTCTGGATAAATGCTGTAAACAAGAAGATATTGGAAGAAAAAAAAATCCTGTCACCAAAAACACATCCTTGAATTTGGGAATATATAAAAACAATATTAGTCATACATTACAAAGACATAACATAGATAACAAGTTAACAAACAATCCTACATCATAAATACCTAAATAAATATAAAAGTCAAAGAGTTTGCAATTTAAAAAAGGACATGAAAAATTTTGCTGACAATACAAAGAAAATGAAATTACAAAACCCTTCACAAATGAGATGACAAGGCTATATCTTCATAATAAATATTCAAATAACATGGACTTCTTAAAGACTTTTTCTGGACTAAAAATATGTTCCGGTAATGACATTTTAAAAATTCTTAGCAAACTTTTCATGTTTACTTGACTATTATTTGACAAATTTCTTTAAAGAGTTTTGAACCAAGATGTTCAAGAATTGCAGATATATTTATTTAGTGTGGGAGACCGCTATCAAGCTTGTTAAAAGGAAAGTACAAGGTCCAATGTGGCTGGAAACAAGACCATTCAAAAAAAAATGTAAAGCTAAGTTCTTATGTTTTAATGTCCCTTGTAAATATGATTAGTTATAAAAATAAAATAATATATTTCATTACTTCTAGTAGCAACAATCATTCTGAAAGCCATAAACATTAAAGAAAATGTTGCTATCCAGGATTTCATTTAACTCTAAAATTTTCAGACAAAAACTGGCATTTTACCTTTTATTCTGCTCTGCAAATGACTAGTGGAACTGGATGATTATACAAAAGTATAACACAAAACAAAGAAATTTTAATAAAAAAATAAAATCAACAAATCAAATATTTTAATTAAAATTCAAAACCCACCTGTGTTTTCAAGTAGAGTTTTAGGTGTATTTGATCGGTTGATGATGTCAATTAGCTGTGTTAACACAATACCAATAAAAGGCTGCATGTCAGCTCCTGAAAAATCAATTTATAGACAGGGTTCAAAACTCAGCTTTCCTTAAAAATACAATTGTCAGTTTTTAACTTTAACACAAATATTCATTCTTAGAGGAGTAACAGTTTAAAGAAAAGGAGATGATATTACAACAAATGGACCACAAGAGAAGTTGGATAAAAAGAAATTTTATTAAATAAATGACCAAAAAAAAAAAGAAGAAAGATATACTGTTGTCTCTTGCCATTTTAAGGTTCACATTTTTCAGTTTCACTGTATCAAATTTTTTTTTACTCGTATATATTTAATTTTGTATCAGGGATTTTTCAGGACGGGCAGATCACAGGATTTTGCGATATGATAAATATATTGCGTATAGCAGGGGTGAGCAAACTTTTTGTACGGAGGGCCACATTGACTAATGTGAAGCTATTGGGGGGCCGCATGTAAATTATGTCCAATTTTTACATGTCGATAAACATTTCTCTTTATTAAAAATCTGTAAATTCACACTTGACAAAAGTCAAGGACTATTTTTAAAAAATAGAAAATTAGAAAGAAAGTTGATCAAAAAAGTTAAAACAATCATAACAGTCCATGAAATTCTGTGAAATTCAGCAAAATAACTTAAAAACAAAGTAATTTTTTTTTATTGCTAAATGCCTCCGAAGGGCCGCATATGCGTACTTTGCCCACCCCTGACGTATAGCATGAGTTCAGCATATCATCATGTCCATTTCACATCAACGTCTGATCACTGTGCATAGCATTGCTCTGCAGTGTTGTAAAATTTTCATAAATAATTTGACTTCAAGCCCTACGATGACGACCAAAAACTTTTCGCATCGAACCCAAGCACCAGAGGAAGATGCTTACCATCGCAGAAAAGGTGGAAACACTAAGCTGCTGTAGTGTAAGCCGCTATTATGGGATCAATAAATTTTTCGGTTTGCTACATATAGTAGGATGAAAAGAATGTAAGGACGACGGCAGCAGTGTCTTTCAACAAGACTGCAAAGAGGGTAGTAACTTCCTGCAATAAGGCCATTGTGAGGATGGGGTCTGCTTTGGCCCTGTGGATCAGTGACTGTAGTAGGAAGAAGAAAATCTTGGATATCAACGTCATCCACACAAAGGCCAAGAAGCTTCACAAAAACTTTTGCTGAAAGCTGTGACGTTACAGACGAGGGCAACGAAGAAGCAGGACCATCGAGTTCTTCGCCCACCAAACCAACCCCATTCAGTGCCAGCAAGGGTTGGTTCAGAAACACTTCGAACATAAGAGCGTTTCTCTACAGGGAGATAAAGCCTCTGGGGATAAAGCCAGAGCTGAGGCACATGTAAAAAAATCATTCTGAACCATCGGCGAGGAAGGAAGCTATAAGCCTGAACAAGTATTTTTATATGAATGTGACAGGCTAAATCTGGAGGCAAATGCAGTCTCACACTTTATTATGAAAGATGAAGCCAAAACCTCTGGATTTAATGCTTAGATTGTGTAACTTTGGTTATGCGTGGAAATGCTGTTTTTATGATCAAGCCAAGACTTATTTATTAGGCACAAAAACCGAAGGGCCCAAAAAACAGGAATATGTGTCACCAGTGTACTGGATGCACAACTTCAAGGCCTGGATCACAATGAATTGGTTCCACCTGTGCTTTATCCTGAAGGACAAGCATTATCTGACAGAGGAAGGCCTTGAATTTAAAGTGCTTCTGAACATGAACAATGCTGTCAATCTGTCGCATGACAACAAGCAGACAGTACTTGTCACCGCACACCACATCCTTGATTCAGTCCATGGATCAACGAGTTAACCCTTTACAGTCCAACCTATTCAGCCTTGTCTACTCCCAGCGCCCAAGCAAAGGGACATAACTCCATTTTAAATGAAGGTTCTTTATCTAATTAATTTTCAGAAAATAAACTAGAAGCAACAAAATAAAATAAAAAATACCTAAATACAAAGAAATGATTAAAGCAAAAGTTAAACCTAAAAATAGTTTCAGAGACCCTCCCACTCATGAAATAGTGAAGCTTCATTAGGCCTAAGTTCTTTCAAATGTGTATCCAAAGCTTAGATAGCCATTTTTTACAGCGAAAAAATCGCGACTTTTAAAAAAATCATAGAAAATCAGCCCCTAAACACACCGCGGTCAAACTAGTATCGAAATAAATGCCGACAACGAGGCTTAGAAGGCCATCTTGATATTTATCATTACGCGTTACCTGAAGGCGAGTGCTAAGAACGAAAGTAAACAACCTCGAAACGGGCGGGTTTGGCCGCATCGGACTGTACGCTTAAGGAAAAAATCGCCGCATTTCGGGCGCATCGAACTGTAAAGGGTTAATCTCGCTTTAAGGTTCTATGTATGTGAAAACGCCCTGAAAACCTCGAAGCTATGGACTCGGATGAAGACCTCACTAATCGCGTTTTAATTATTCAGAAAGCCAAAAAGGCAATGAAGAGTGAAACTTAAAGTGCCAGCTAGAAAGCTTTGTGGTCAGAGTGGTCCAATGATTATAAGGGATTCTCTCCTGATGAAGTCCATCACTCGATGGCAGAGAAGGCTGTGAAGATGGCAAAACTACTGGGAGGAAATGGTTTCAAAGATATGACTTTGATGACAATGACCCGATCGAAGCCCACTCACAAAGAACTGACGGAGAAATAATAGGAACTAGGGGTTAAAGAAGACAAGAAGGTTGGCCTAACGCTCGAATGTCTCGCAATCATGGTCAGAATAGCCAAAGACCTTCAGCCAGTGGCTCCAGAAAAGGACCCCTGATGCTTTGTTGCAGTTCTCAAATTCAATCAAGCGTGTTATTTCTGTTTATAAAAACCTTGCCCACAGGACAAAGCAGCGCCAGCCACTCCCCATACCTATGTTCCTCCCTAGGAAGAAGAGACCAGCAACACATACACCATTAGAGAAAAAAGAGAAACAACCAAAAAGGCGAAGATACTGCACCAGATACTGGAGGCGCCTTTGGTTGTAACTCCACAGCTGAATACATCATATTCATTATTTAAGTTGAAGTATATTCACTGGTAAGCACCCATATGGAATTTTTATGTTGTCAAATTTATATATGTTTAAAGAGTGAAGAGAGTGTTTTAGGGCATAGGAAGTGTGGAAAAGGTTAATAAGACTGTGGGGAGGGTTTATAAAGCCTTAACATACATATAAAAATTTAACTATAAATAAGGTCACAACTTAGTAGATTTTGGCGGGGGGAGGGGTGGGTTGTTGTTCTGTGTGTGTTTGTTCCTGGAACTTAAGGGGATCCACGGGTCACAAAATAATGGAAATTTGAAAAAAATATTGATTCTTCAAAACTTGGATTTTCTGTTAGATTAATATCTTTATTATCATTAAATAAAGTAAAAATTATAAAATTAATTAATTTTAACATAATTGTGATCTGAAGGGGTTGGGGTCATTGGTTTTCTTTCACACCTAACCCCAAATGACCTATTCAACACTTGATTGCGCGGAAACCCCTGGTTCGATTCTATCATGTTTGGTATCGTTAGAAAGCTAATCATCGAATAAAGAATGCGATTCCGATGACTAATTTATCTAAAAATAACCATTCATGTAAAAACCATGTGTATCACGTGTACACAAAAGTAGATGATTGGCCAATTCGTAGTTATAAACAATTCTCTGCATTTTGATTGGTCCATATCCGCCATTTTCCTTTACGGAAGAGTGACCTTCCAACATTTTTCCCTGACTACGTGTAAACAAAGAGAAAGCCTTTTTCGTCGATTCAAAGTGAAAATTTGCTTTACTGTTTTAGGATTTGATTATTTTTCAATTGATTTCATCAAATAAGGTAAGATTAATTTGTATATGATATTTTTATAATTGATTTTGGTATTGTACTTTCGTTCATTGGTAATTTTGTGGTCTAAGCTTAGGGCTTAGGACGCCACTGCTAGACCGAGTCAGTAAACTTAGTCAAGTCACAAGTGAACTGTGTATTACATAAGACCTGTTGTACTCTCATTACAAACTAAATGTATATATTATATAATAATACTAAAATATTTTAATTAATAATAGTTTAACGATTTATTTCTGGTAGGCTACACTATACTATAATTAATTGTAATTGTAATCATACCATAATAGTACTAGTGCATATCACTACATGGGGAGACACATTTGAAATATTCATAGACTATAAAGGACTATTGGTATTGACTGGATCTATTTTACAATATACAGGCACTGTACCTATTTAGTTCTTATTGGGCTTACTAAATTAAAAATGTTCTATTCATTACATTTGGTTATTTTCAATTACCGGTACGTGTCTTCATTCTTGCAACATTTTTTGACATACCAGTTGCTTTGTTTATGATATTGTTTTCTTTTTATTAACAATTTTTTTATTTCTCTATTGCTATTACTTCAGTGTTATGCCTCCAACTAAAGAATTGACAAAGAGTACTGCTTCGAGATCTAAGCTGAAGAGACATCGACCGACATCTATGGCAAGAGCCACAAAGTTGAAGAAGAATGAACTCTCAACCATCGCTTTGTCCCCTCCCTGCCAGTTGGACAACCACTCTGTAGCAGATATTCAGGATATACAACCCGAGTCATTTTGGGACAGGGACAGTCATTTTGCCGGGTATGCATGAAAGCATGAACTTGGCTTTTTTTTTGCTGCCACCGACAGCCCCAGCGATTCACCTTCGCCAACAATCTATGTTGCTATTTAAATTTTGCTATACAGGACTGCAATGTGCCTCTTGCAGTACTTAGTCTCTTCACCTTCTACAGGATGAGAAATAAAAACTGTAGACTTGCAGTATATTTGCTGTTTACTGAGACAAAATCTGAAAGTGTCCACATTCTAAACAGACAGGCTGTGGCTGCACCATTTGCAGACCCATCTACTTGGAAATACAAGGGACAGTTTCTGCATCTATAAAGCCCAGAGGTCACTAGAAAATAATGAAGTATTTGGAAGGAGGTTTAAAAAATAGCTGCAGAAAAAGAAATGGAGAGTTGAGTTAGAGTAAGTGTGGCCGCAATAAATACTTGAAGGGGCTGATTTTTTATGTTGTATACTAATAAATTAAAAAATATATCTTCCAATTTTTATAAATTATGTAGTATGCTATTTTTAAATCATAATTATAATGTTGAAATAATGTTTTTGGTATGCAAAGTAAGGTTGTTTTTTGTTGTTTTTTTTAAATTTAACAAAAAATAATATTTTTTATTTGCGGCGGGGAGGGTGTTGTATATTTGTCCCTGAAAATTTATTTTCCACAGGTTTACATTTGTTTTTTGCTTATTAACATGCCCAATGATTTTTATATTGAATAAGATGAAATTTATTTGCTTACATTATGAATAAGACTAAAATTTCTTCCAAAAAGAGTTTATTTTCTATTTTTCTCAAAATAAAATATTTAAGGTACCGGTATACTAAATGTTCTTCATTTTTCTCAAAATCTACCTGTTCCATTGTTTTGAAATTGTGTATACTTGTTTAAATATGGCTTAAGATTATAGTGACAGAGCCGTTTAGGTTAAAAATGATCATGGAAAAAAAATATTTTTATTGAAAGTGATATTTTTATTTAAAGAAAAAGTTGCGCGACCAAACAAAAACTAAACAGCACCAAAAGGACATGAAAAAAAAAATTGGCTATCTTTTTACCCAAAGTCTCAATTTTATCATATTTAGTAGGCTTATGGCTAATTAAATACAAAATTTGAGACCTGTAGCTGCTGTGGCTTTTATATAAAACCTTTCCAAAGATTCCCATGATTTTACCACCTCGACCCCAAATATGCTCCGCGGAAGTAAAATTTTTTAAATAATTAAATTTGTCCACCATATTTTACTTATCTAAGCCCATTTAAATAATATAAAAACTTTAAACATGTTAAAATGTTAATAATTTAGAAAATGAAGGTAGTTGACCCCCTTAACCTGGGAATATTCAAGAGGGACCACTGTATTTATACCACTGCTTTACAATGAGAAATATATTTTACATGTTGTTTTTTTAAACAGCTTATGCCAAAAATCACTTTAAAAAAAGTTTTCAGTAAGCTGTAAGATCTTGGTCTATGGTAGGGGTGTGCCGGATCCGTTTTTTCCAACCGGATCCGGATTTTCTTATGCGAAATCCGCCGGATCCGGATACCGGTTTCTCCCGGATTCCGGATTTTGGTACTATTGGTAGATACTTCGGTAAGTCAAGGTGGACTACTACTTTTTGTGTATGGGAATTCGCAATCGGCGCCAAAAAATCCGAGTTTTTAATTTTCCGATGTGTGTGTCTATTTATTATTAAATTAGTACTTTCGATATATATTTGAGTTCCGTTCCATTTGGATAAGTGTCTTACGAGAGACGCCATGTTTCTACGCGTTCGCAGCAGGTTATGCAGCTCGCTCAACCTAATTTCGCCATGGGGTTGGCCACGCCCCCCTTTTTAATGGCGGAAGTTGACGATACTTAGGAAATATTAATTTATTATCACTATTTACATCAAAATAATTGATAACTTGTGTTTCAGAATGCATTTAAAGACATTTAAACTGGAATGTTTTAATTTGAGCTTTAACAACCCGGTAGAATCCATATTATAAATGATCAGAATTTACCGTGTGCAACACGTTGTCATTGGCAACCATTCACAGCCACTTGCATAACTGTATCGTAGTACTACCTCAGAGTTTCATTCATAAGAGTTTGCCGTGTGCAAAAACTATTAAACCATTGGTCAGGGAAAGCTTTAATTAATTATTCATGTGCCAAAGTTGAAAGTTTAAACTAAGTCTAAACAGTATTTTAGTGATAAGGCAGGGAATGCGTTGCCTTATATAAACTATATAGTCATTGCGCATGACGGGATTGGCGGAATGAGATCACAGAATGTGGAGATGCAGTCCATGTTAAAAAATGACAAACCAAGTCGTACTTTAAAAATTCATAACTTTAAAACTACAACAGCTAAAAATATGATTTTGGTGTTATAATTCTTTAAAAAATTACATCTTTTCAACTATGCCATTGGTTTATTTTTACAAAAAGTTTAAATTTTCTTATCAAAGTCCCTACACTATTGGCCACTATTAGCGGTGCTGACTCTAGCCTCTGGTATGTACGGAATATTAAACATTAAACAAGCTCAACGCTCGAAACAATCGATTAATGTATCGTGATCGTGTGAAATTCGGGAAAGAGAATTACTTTTATTTCAGATTATGATCCGGTGAGTCACAAAAATCTGGCAAATTCCGAAATCCGGTATATTCCGGATTCCGGAATCCGGTTGTTCCGGATACATGTAAATCCGGCGGAACCGGATTTCACCGGATAGTGCAAAATCCGGCGGAACCGGATTCCGGACCGGGGTCCGGCACACCCCTAGTCTATGGGCTTTTAAGGACAATCAAAGAGGCCATTAACGAAATAAGTAGGAATTGAAATTTCAAAGTATATATGGAGGACATCAAATGTCTTTGACCTATTTTGTTTGGGGTAAGAAAATAATGCAAAAGCACATTAGGCCTCTAAATAGTGGAAAATTATTCACTGTGAGGCTCTGTGACTAGGAATAAACTGGACAAACAGAGCCACCAGTGGAAGCCATGTTGACTACTACAGTATGCTCCGTTTGTGTATCATTGGTCATAACTTATAAAGATGAATTTAGGTTCTCATAAGCTAAAAATAAAAATTGTGCCTCATAAATGGCCTGAAACTAATATGGTAGATCTTGCACAACATAATGTCATAAAAGCTATAAATAAACAGAATAAATTAGTGTATAAAAGGGATTAATCCTTTTAAATATTTGAACATTTATAATGAAATCCCATTCAACAGAGAAAAAATAGTTTAAAAATTATAAGGTGATTAATATTATAATGTATGTATGAAGCTTGCCAGTAGAGTATACACAAAAAAAGAGATACAATGGTACTTTTAAATAAGCAAAATAAAAACACTTACCCATTTTTATGGAAATCTCTCCAATTGCCCAAGTTGCATTGTTGCATACAGAAATAAACTCAGGATTGAGATTAGCCCCTAAAATTGGCATAAACTCAGCTGGAATATTTGAAAAAATTATTAAAATTTAACAAATTAATGATTGTTAAAAGTTTTAGAAAGAAATAATTGAAAAAAATAATTTTAAATTTTAAGACTATTGACATCCTTAAATTAATTTTGGATCAGATAGTACGAATACATGCTACTGTCATGTTACTTATTCAGTGCATTATTTAAATTCATCATATCCAAATTGAAAATTAAAAGACAGTAGTTTTAAATTAAAAATGAAGGTAAAACCTTTCATTCCATAAAAAATTTTACTCTCACTGAGGGACTTATCTTTATAATAAAAAGACTTTCAATCTTATTGGACACACAAAAATCAAATAATTATATATGTTAGACAAAAGCATTAATTCACACAAAAAACAAAATAAATATGACCTATCTCCTTAGTTACTATAGTATAATAAGAACCAAGGTGTGACAAATTTACATGAAAAACATACAACAAAAATTTGATTTTTATGATTTAGTTATAACTGTGCCACATTAAGGCTGATAAACATGTTGCCTTATCGCAATGCAAGACAGGCATGGATAAACTTTTTTCCCTTATTAAATTAAATGACTGACATCCTTAAAATCTTTGGATCAGACAGTACGAATACATGCAACTATCATGTATTTCAATGCATCTTTAAAAAATCATCATATCCAAATGGAAATACCCAAATAAAAGAAAGGGAGATAAAAATATTTGAAACAAACTTACGAATACACGGTCGCACATGCTGAAAACAAGCTTTTGTCAAATCTCCCAAAAGGGCAAATGAACTTTGTCTAACTTCTGGCATGGGATCCTAAATAATTGAAATAAATAAGGGGGAAAAAAGAAATTATTCCAGCAAAATGTAACTATTACAGAAAAACAACAAATTTCAATTAAACACTATTTAAATATCAACAAACCTGCATGCATTGGAAAAGAAGTTTCAGAATTGTACTGTTAGCCACAAGGCCTTCAATATGACCCTCCAAACCTTCAGCAAGTCCAGAAAGCAGATCTAGAGCAACAATCATGAAATCCTTGTCAGGCGGATCATACTGGTCAGGTTGTGACAAATTGGCCTAAGAACAGAAAATTATATTAATAATGCTATAAGGAAACTTAAGTGATCTGCATTAATAGCATGAAGAATTTAATCTGTAAGCAGTTTGATGAAACTGTAATAAAAATGATATGAAAGTATTTTTTGGATCAGACAGTACGAATACAAGCTTTAAATCAGTTCAGTCAATGCTTGGTATTACATCATATCCAAAGATAACATTTTAACATCATTTTAAATAAACTTTATGAACTTTGCTGCACACATGAGTTTAAAAAATCAGAATTTTACTTTTAAACATTTATATTGCATAAGTCATGTAACTACAGAATATATATATATATATATATATATATTGAATCCAATAAATTTCATCTTATATATATATATATATATAATAAAATCCAGAAAAAATCCTAACCAGCAACATTTAGTTTTAAAATACTTTAACAGCCACAATATTCTTTGCATAACTTAATTGACACTAAATAGACTAAGCTTTACATATTTTTTACATTTCAAATTGAGAGTTCACTGTAACTCCATTTTGCTTATTAAAAATGATTAATTAACTTCCCTTCTTTAGATTTCAATGGGATCCAAATTGTAAGTACCATTATTTAATAATATTATACCAATTATAAAAAAAAGGTTCACATTTTTTTTTTTACTTACATAGTTTTGAGTAAGTGTTTGCTCAACAAGACAAACACATCTTCTGTATACTGGTTCACAATATGGGAGAAAACCTGACTGAAGTGCTGTGGCTACACTGGACAAACACTAAAATGTAACAAAAAACAACTGAAAATGTAAATCATGAAAAATAAAGATATATAAGGCTAGATGAAAATACATTTATGAAGTGTACACAAGCAAATATAATTGAAAAAAAAAAGTTACCTCCAATAATGGAAAAAGATCTTTGTCCTCATCTTTCAACATATTCCATTTCTGAATTAATGGGGGCATTAACATGTTGACATACTCCTGAAAGGTATACATTTGTCTAAAATTTGTAAGCGTTGAGTAAAACAGTAAAACAGCTGTCTCAAATTAAATATAGTGAAATGTACAATTATGTAAAATATGTGTCAAATGTTTTCTAAATTAGCAGCCAAATGAAACTGTTACTTACTGGTTTATTTAAATGATGACCAACAGAATCAGCCAAAGTGCCTATAGCATCATACAAGATTAGTAGATTTTTGTGCTACAGAACAAAAGAAGTACATGAAATTAGTCATTAAATTACTTTCTTAAAAATGGCAATGGTGAGTAAAGGTAAAATAACTAAATTTTAAGCTAAATATTTACCAGTAAAAAACAGTGGGTCAAAAATCAATACTATAATATTTTCTTCATTTTTCTCTCATTCATATTCAATTTGTTTTCATTTCGTATTTTGTTTATATTGGATTTTAGATTGTAAATATAAGAAGATGCTTTTTTTAAAAAACATTTCTTTAATTTACCAAAATTATAGAACAAAGTATTGAAATAGATAATCATGTTAAAGTAAACTGTGGCAACTGAGAGTAAATGTGATTAAGACCTCTTGCAAATTAGAACTACATGACCAAAATTCATGGTACTTCAGCTAATCTGTTGTAATACTTTGTGGTATGCCAAATAATTGGGCAACCTGCTTAAATGGACTTTTTCTAATTGCAGTAAGTACCAAAAAAAAAAACAATTTCTTACCAAAAAAAAATAAAAACAGAATCTCAAGTATACCGTAAGAAAAAGAAGGTTAAAACAATCATAAGATAGATGTTGGGACACACTTTTTTTTTTAAAGTCATAAGACTTTAAGAAATCAAAGTCAGCACCATTTAATGTTCTTCCTTTTTCCGAAACTAAAAAGCAAAAAATTAGCTAATCAGATGCGATTAAGGAAGACTTTATTTCATTTAAAATATACAATTATTTTCTTTAAAGGAAGGATAATAAATAAAAGCACTGACCTGATATTTCCCAAACGCATATACTAGTGTCTCCAAAATAAAGCCAAGATATGGAACCAGCTCAGTGCATGCTTCCTCTTCCAGTGTAGCAAAAGCAGAACAAGCTGCTTCTTGAACACGTTTATTGGCATCTAATATCCTCTTTAGCAACTGTGGAAAGATATGTTACAAAACTTTTCATTACATTACAAATTACCTATACAATCATTAAAAAATCATACAGCATAAAAAGTTTCAGAAATGAATCATCCGGATGTGTTATTAATAATTAATGTGATAAAACCCCCCAGAAGGTAGTAAGAGGTGATGTTAAAAAGCTAATACTGTGCAAGCTATAAAAAATAAAATGAATGGCTACAATAAAAAAAATTTGGCTTATAAATGATGTTCAAAATATACATGGATTATGTATTTTAAATAAAACAATTTAGACATCTATTGCGCAGCATGTTTACAAATTGAATATATAAAACGATAAACAAAGAGACATACCTCAGTCATTAGAGGCTTTAAATATTGGTCATGAGGTTGACCAACTACCCAGTGAGCATAGCGGCTTAGTGTCCAGCAGGTAATGGACCTGACCAAGGCTTTTTTGTCAGATAAACAGTTGATGAGATAAGGAATCAGCTCAGGTAGATGTGGAATCATACCACTCATACATCCCTCTGCAATAGCACCCAGGACCAAGATACCAGACTCTTTCACCTCCCAATCCACATGAAACAAAGTTTCTTTTAAAATGGGCAGTAGAACTGGAAGAATCTCTTCATGAAATACATTGGCTAAGACATCCAGAGCTGCAGCTGAACACTTCCCTTATAAAAAAGAGAAAGGAAGTTAAGATTAAAATTACATTGCTTCTATGTTTCTAACACCTATGCACCTACCTTTTGCAAAGAAAATTAATAAATCATATACTGTATTTATCTTTTATAAATAGTTTAAGAAAGACTTCAAATGGATCGTAATGTGCAACCTCACACTAAATATTTACTTTATTGGCAATGGTATAATTTAATAAGACTACAGAAAATTACGAAATGAGATGGAAATTATATAAAAACATCGTTAGACAAACTAGAATAAAAAAATTGTTACTGTGCCACCTTAATCTGCTTCTCTATGCAGAGACAACATCCAGCATTAACTTCCTAAGTTATGGAACATCAAGGTAATATGGCAATGTAAAAACGATAAAGACCTCTTCCAAATTGGTAATAAATGGGAGAATACCTGTACCTTTCATTCAAGATAATGTTTATATAATTTTGTGGAATTTCATTCAAATTATTGGACAAGCTGCTTGAAAAAAATTAACTTAAATAGGCGTGATTAATATGTTACAATATAAGATTTTTCTCTAAATTGTAACAGATCTTAATCAAGCCCATTAAGATTTTTCTCTCAGGATATTGTAAAGGAAGAGAATTTGGGATGATTTGTAAGCTATACATAGCAGCAGTAACAACAACAAATTCTGTTAGTGTAGACTTAGTGCTATAAGTCATAAGACTTTATCAAATGGAAGTCAACATCATTTAATGTTCGTCCTTTTTCCGAAACTAAAAAGCAAAAATAAGCTAATTAGATGCGATTAAGGAAGGATTAAGAAAGATTCGAAAATATTCAACATTGCCAACATTCACTTTTAGGGCAATGATAAGTATTGAAACAGTGAAAGATATAACAAATAGTAATGGGAAAAACTAATTTAAAAAAACTTACTTAGATTCCAGTCTGACAGAGAGTCATCATCATCATAACTATCATCTGAATCTGCATCCTAAGAAATTTTTTTAATGGATAAGAAAAACAGTGACCTGATTTAATTTAAACTGATAATGTGGTTGAAAATAAACATTTATTTGAATATTTAATTAAGGGTCTACTTATTTTTTTAAAGACGGGACATTTAACTTACATCAGATTCATCATGCTTCTGATTGGAATGTGTTCTGGACTTGTGAAATCGAGGCTTGATATCAGATTCTTTGTCTGGGATCATGTCATCCTCTTCAATATCCCCCTAGTAACAAAAATAAATGTTATATATTAAAATATTTATTAAACCCCTAACGAAGCAATAAAATCATTTAGGGTTATATTCTTAGAATGATTGTATAATAAAGTTTGCTTTAAATGTTAGTACTTGAAAATGATTTAGGATTTGATAAAACAAGATCCTTATAGAACTTAATTATATGAACAAATACATACATTTAAATTGCCTTTGTTTCTTTTCATAATGCTCACATGTAAAATACAAATTGCTCATAATTTTCCATTTTGAATCAGAATGTAAGCAGAGGAGACATCTGATTTAAAATAAGGATGTGGCAAGCATATTTTTATACTTTGTAAAAAATGCAACCCAATGTATATGCTCCAAGCCCCAACAGGACAATTTTGTTAAAAATATTAACATGTAAAATGGGTTCTTAACCAGGGGTGCCCGCACTCACAGAGAGAGGGAGTGTAATGTAAGTGCTGGAGAGACAGAAAATTTATATTGTGAAATATTACCTTGAGGAGTATAATATCAATCTCTGAATATCTCATTCCTTTCACAAGAATCGGTACAAGCCTATCTATATGAGGCCCCAAAACATCTTTGCAGACTTTCTGCTCTGCCAGAGACAACCAAAATTCACACGATTCTAAAGCAACAGTCTCATCAATATCTTGAGTGCGTTCCATCATGTACTGTTAGATAAATATAAATAAAATATTAATTTTACAGAGTCTCTTTTTTGCTGCTATATATTGTTTGCCTATTCCCATTTATTATCGTTTCTCTTTTACCCTGACAATTTAAAAAATGCTATCAATCAAAAAGTTACAATTATGTATCATATTTCTAAAATAAGCTCCCAATTATGATTTATGCCTACTTAATTGAGTAAACTTTCAACTAGTAGTTTGTCTCACCATCATAAGTCATAGGCAGACCTGTTTACCCTCAAACCCCTAAAATCGTACAATCTGGTCTCAAAATCGTACAATACAATATCTCTATAGTAAATAAATAAAACTACAAAATATTTCCCTATATTTTGTAAATGTCGCTGACTGGATCTTATAAAATACCGTTATGCCCCAAATCCAACGCTCCACTGCAGAACAGTTGGATCATCTATTTTATTTTAAAAACCATCTCTAGTTTTACAATCGCCGCGGTTCTGAGGAACAAAATAATTATGTACCAAAACTACGTCACACGCTTGGTAGCAGTCAAAGGCGATGGCGGGTGAAGTTGTCGCTAGGGCGACCAATCCAAATATTACTGTTGACGCAGCAGCCAGCTAGTACACTGTGATCCCGTCAATACGATACGTNAGGATGGTTCCAGTATAAAAAAAAAAAAAAACAATCCAACCAATCGTTTTTATCGTTCATATTCACTGCCAGATCTTCATTAGAGACGGCTAAAACGTCCAAACCCGAAAATTTATTAATTTTTTTTAAATCGGGGGAAACATTTTTCCACCGGGTCTCTGAAAATCGTAGTTTTGGCGGGTCTTGGCGTACAATCGTAAAAGACATCTAAAAATCGTACATTGTACGCCAAAATCGTAAGAGTAAACAGGTCTGCATAGGTGACCTCCAAGATAAGGCATTTTAGTATAAAGCAATAAATATTTCTACTACAAGTTAATTATTCAATAATTGGTCAAGTTTCAACAGTAATCTGAAATTTAAATTAAAATGGCTTTAAAAAACGTATCTTAATTTTTTAGTTACACATGATTTATTGAGGTGAATTACAAAATAGTTAAGAAAGAATTAACTTTACCTGGATAATCTGATCAATATGAGGCATCAACCTATCTATTCTCACTTCAACAAGCATAACCAAAGCCCTACAAACATTTTTTCGAACTTCAGAGTCATCATCCTTAGCCACATAAAATAAGTTCTGAAATAAAAAATGTTTATTTTGAAATACAACTTAAGTTATAATTGGTTTTTAACTAATCTATTATCAAAGTACTTGTAAAAGACTTGTAAAGTGTAAAGAATTTTCAAACAAAATTATCAATAACTACCTGAATGAATGTGTCTATATGAACCATTAGTGCCTGTGTTCTGCTAATGATGAACTGATTCACACAAGCAATGGCATGAGATCTGTTAGAACAACAAATGAATAATTATATTTTTTAAATGGTGGCTGACTAGCATAGCAGCCTAGGTATGATGATGGTCTTAGATTCAATCACAAAAACACATCAAATATCCACACCAGGCCATACAGACACAAAACATGATAATATTACATAACAACTATGTGAAAACACAGAAAGATCAAATTTAAATCAACCTTTTAAAAATAAACTGTTAAAACTAGATAAAAAAGCATACCTAATCTTTGGGCTTTGGTGTCTGAAGAAATTCAAAAACTTGGGTATAAGAACATTCAATGGTCTATCAGCCATATCACTGTCAAGAATTTCAGCATTGTCTTCACATATTTTTTGAAGAGCTCCAAAAGCACCCTACATAGACAAATGTTGTATTGGAGAACGAGACGTAAAACTCTACAGTGGAAAATAAATTAACCAATACTATAATGCTAAGTTAAAATTCAGTCTTCTTCAGACGCCAATAATACTTACCTCACAAATATTGTAATCCTCTGAATCTAAACATGCACAAAGATGTGGTAGAACTTCAGGCCAATTATGTAGCTCTCCTTTGATGATAATATTTGTTATGATTATCCCAATAGTAGCTCTGATCAAGGGTGATGGGTCACCAAGACTATTGATACATTCTTGTTTAATGAAGCTTGTCACTTCCGGAGGAAAGCGTTCAAAATGTGCCCGCACATTATTTTTCAGGATTAATCCACTTAATGAGCGTGTAGGATCATCTAAGAGTAGAAATTACATTATTTTTTTAATAATGAATGAAAGAATAAAATTTATTTATTGATAAATAAATCAACGCTGAGTTTTTTGTAGTTCTCTTATACAAGTTTTTTTTTTTTTTTTGACCTCCCCATCCAAATAATTTGGGAGTTGCTTAAAAAATTATATTTTTAAATTCAAAAATAACTTGGACAAGAAATTTTGTAAAACCTTTTAAACATTAATCTATAGTCCTAGCCTGCATGCTCAATCATAAAAAAAATGCTAACATTCGGTCTTTTAACGAACTATGTACTAACCTTCTGTTTTTAGCTTAGTTAAAACAAAAATTAAATAATTGTTGAAATCTGGATAGTTGTTTAATTCCCCTAATTTCTGAAAGAGATTAAAAAATATATTTAAAATTAATTAGTAAGGGGAAAAATAATTAGTCACAACGCAGGCTTGAAGGACATCATTTCTTAAATGCAGTTTCAAAGTTGGATATTCTATCCTGGGTGGGGCGAGTTTTAGAAGGACTCAATTTGTTATCGTGATAATGTATATGAGCAATAAATTAGACATTGCCTGCTTCCGACAATTTGCTGACAACATGTCATGAAATCTACAAATATGGAAATGTCTAATAAATGTCTGTAATTGCTGTGCGCAGTAATCAAAATTGAAAAATCTGCAACTGAAACAAAGCGAATTACTGCATAAGAAATAGGGTTACGTTGCTACACTTCTGTTTTGCTATCTACCCTGCGTTTTGTTTATCGCCAGCAAATAAGGTCAAGTTTACACATATATAAATTAAAATGGTCAAAATCTATTCATTGGTGGACATATATACAAAATGCCATGTAGCTGGGACTATTCACCATATGACTTAACGATCAGATGAAAGAACTTTTGTACCCTCCGACGGGACAGGATGGGGCTTGGTTTCTGTTGGTCTTTTTTTTTTTTTTCATAAATTTTAGCCATGTACTGTACACAAAATTTTTAAACCACCAATCAAGACATAGGTAAATTATGACATGGTACAGGCATGGGATGAAAGGTTAAAGAATGCACTTCCATACCCATTCAAGCACGCAAAAGAAACCTTGTTTGGCCATTTAACAATCTTTTTTGTACCCTCCGACGGGACAGGATGGGGCTTGGTTTCTGTTGGTCTTTTTTTTTTTTTTTCATAAATTTTAGCCATGTACTGTACACAAAATTTTTAAACCAGCAATCAAGACATAGGTAAAGTATGACATGGTACAGGCATGGGATGAAAGGTTAAAGTATGCACTTCCATACCCATTCAAGCACGCAGAAGAAAACTTGTGTGGCCATTTAACAATCTCCGTACAGGGACCTCAGATTTTTGCGTATTACAGCAGTACTCTAATAATTAATTTTGTCACCAATTACGTGTAATTTTGTCTTTTAACATGTCATAACCCCCACCCCTTTCACCAGGGACACACCCTTCACCAGATGGAAAATATAAATTTAGCCAATTATGTATGGTCACCAGAAATGGAATTTGCTCCCGATTAAGAATCAAGAGTGTTTTTAATTTTGATGTATCTGAATAAATCACAGTAAATTTTAAATGTAATTTTATAATACAAAAATAAAATCAATACTATAAAAAATGTGGCTACCTTTTGCTAGGCTCACAATTTAAAAAATATTTCTAGCCTACAGGCCCAAAACCAATACTATTCTATCCTCCTACTGCATATTATTACCAGTAATACTAGTCAATAGTAATATCAAGTATTAGCCCTATTATTTAGGACATGATTTAACTTCATACATTTAATTTTATTTTTTTAGAAATCTTCTACTTCTACTTACCTTTTATAAATCTTAGCATTGATTTAAAATTTAACTTAAGTATATTTAATTGAAATACAATAAACAGGTTTTTTTTGTTTTTTTTTATATTTCCTCAAACATTTTTCATATATTTTTAAACTAAGCTAAAATAAAATTATCAAAAATGAAGTCTTGATTGCTTGTGTTTTATATTATACTGAGAATGTGTTCCAAAATAATAATATTCTTTAGATATTAATTTCAAATTTTCTGTGGATTGTTTATTATTTATAAGTATAAAGAAATAATACAGGGATTATTTGATTCAATTAGTTAAAATTGTTGATTATACTTCTTATTTACCATGACATACTTTAGTCCCATTCAAAAGAGTGTGACAAAACAGTATGTCATTTATTTTAAGTTTTAATCTTATTTCACAAATTAACATGTATTGTTAGAATCAACTTTGGCAGTTGAGAGAAATTAAAATAAGTTCTTGTCATTCGCTTGAGGTAAGTATAAGTTTCTATGGCCGCCATGGATAATTGGTAATATGCAGACAAGCATGGTCGCCATGATGACAAATTACATAGTCTAAAAAAAGGTTACCTCTTTGATTTTTTGTTTTTGATGCCTGCCTACGGTCTACACTCATGAATTTGTATGTTATAAATGACGGTTTTGAGCTTGAAATATTAGGGTTCTGCGACATAACCATTGAGAAAATGGTAAGAGAAAGAGAGAAACGTCGACGTGTTGGCAAGTAACCGAGGTTGAGGTAAGTGTACATGTGAATATTGTGCTATTTTTTTTCTATTGGCATATTGTTTCCTTATATTAAAATAAAACACCTTAAATTTAAATAAATATTTAGCAACAAATGTAAATTAAGGAACATTCAATTAACTTTACAATACTATTAGTTGGCTACAAAATTAACAGCCCTGACACATTGATAAATAGTGTGTATTCAATATATTTTATGAGAGATCTTAAGATGTTTGAAAGAAATAACATGCTTTGATTATTGTTGCTGCAATACTTTTTTTTATAAATTGAATTTTCTTTATTTTAGTAGTTTTTCATAACAAAATTAAATCTAGAAACACAATTTCAAACACTTTTATTGTTCCCGTTATATTGATGTTGATATTATTGTTTCAAAAAGTTTAACAAAAATAATTTAATTAATTATTCATTGGGGGGGGGGGTTTTCCTTTTTTATTTCAACATATATCATACTGCAGGCCTGCCAAGAAAAAAAAATTGTGGTGTGTGTGGGTGGCTGGCGTGGGGGTAAGTAGGGCCGCTGCCCCCAGAGTGTGGCACCCCAAGGGGGGTGTTGGTTTAAGAGCTAAATACTAACTCACAAGCCTTTTTTTTATTAAATAGAAAAATATAAAGTTCCCTCCATTGTCTTTGAAGAGTCCACAGAACACAACAGAACATGAGAAAAACATTACTGGAAATGTTTATATACAGAACAGAATTTCCATTTTATTTACATATATATACACAGGCTGCTAAGAGTTCAGTTTTCCAGCATTTCCCTAGTGGCCTTTTTGCACTTGTCCAACAGCTCTTTAGACAACTGAAGATTAGCATTGCAACTGATTTTAGTTACAACTTGTACAAACAAATTTCATTTCATGCTTGCCCTTGTTTCATTGTAATTTTTCTTCACAATCTTCTAGCAATCTGCTAGTCTGGAAACATTTCTTTGCCTCTGGCATTTAAGCAATCGGAGTTGGCTAGAGAAATATTTCCTTCAATAAGAAAGGTGGTAAATAAAATTTCTGATATGATCACTGAATTGTCCGATTCCTTTATAAAGAAATTAGAGATGGATGTAATAGATTCATTGCTTTTAGCTGCAGTCGTATGTTTTTTTGTTTTTTTTTGTCGGGGGGGTTAAATGTTTATTAATATCACTATACCCACCACTTTCAATAGATTTATCCATTAAATTAAGATACGCTTTAACAACAACAAAAAAGACACAAGGCAACAAAATTATTTTTTAGCCTTGTAAAATGATGAATCACGATCGGATCAATTGATTAAAAAATGATTTGGAGATCGCGGTTCCTTCCAAAAGACAAGGATGTGTCTATACGTCCGTCGACCAGACAAATAGTGCGGGAGATATTCATACAGCGGGACGCCACTCTTTATATAAGATAGTCACTTTTTAACCATTTGTTCATTATATTTACCAGCAAAGGTTCTAGTACTTCTTTTGTATGATTGAACATTTCTTTTTCACGTAAATTTCCAGACTTTCTTGAATTTGTTGAAATGAAGTACCGTAAACTCTGATAGACTATTACTATTAGTATTAGCGGTCACATGACAAGGCTGACAGACAAATATTCTATGCAACTTTGTTACGGTGGTCATGTGACTAGGTTGAATATATAACAGCTAGATGAAAATCTTGAGAACTTAATCGTCTCTGATCGCCAGACATGTAGACACTTTGTAAAAAAAAAGGAAGTGGCATCTTCGAAATGCACCACTTCCTGTCGTATCCAATTTTTGTTTTCGGATTTTTATGACGGATGAAAAATTATGTTTGGAAAATCTGAATTTTAAGGAGTTAGTTGGAAAGAAAGATGAGGGCTAAAAATCTGTATAATTCCGACAAAATCGTAAGGGTTGGCAGGTCTGATACTGTCTCACTGATTCTTCCCCTTTTATTTTTCCTCACATGCCTTTTATGCTGATAGGCAACTGAACATGTTAAATCCAAAAATGTGGCTTAAAATAAAATTGCATTGATAATTTGCGCAATTGTTTCTGTCCACAATAATCAAGGTTCGCAATTGCCCGTGTGCTGAATTTTCAGTGTGCGTATTTGTTGGTGTGCGCCGTTTTCTTTGTGCGCAGCTATGTATTTGGGGATCTTTCTGTGCGCATTAGACTTGCGTGCATGCGTGGTGAGTTATCGAAGTACCTACAAAATTTGTGTCTAAGTACCTAGCCAAATATTTTACTTGTTGCTACGGCTACAGACACAAAACACATAGGGATTTTGGGATGGGGACTAGTAAACATCCAGACTGGATGTGTTCTATGACATCTTGTTATTTATAATATATTAGCAAATCATTATCTTTGGAGGAATATTCCTTTTGCACAACCTAGCATCACCTCTTACTCTTGGCACACTAAGTGTCCAGCAGCACAGGGGTTGGGGAGTTCTGATATAGATGTCCTATAACTAAGCTTTATGAGCAATAGGCCTAATATGATAAATAATAAATGACACTATCACTCTATTATTTATCAGAAAATGGTTCGGCCCCTTATACTACTAACTTGCACTCAATTGCCTTGATGAATGAGTTTCTTTGGGTTATCATCAGTCAGCCTAAAATCATAAATGGGGGCGCCAGACGTTGATAGAGCCTGCCTACTTAAAAGATTAGTATCACGAAGCAAAATACTGAAAGTACATATAAGCGTATCTTTAAATTAAAGGGACACTGAATTTGGCAACTTATTGAATGCCGCGTGACACCACAGCTACAGACCACACTGTTCCGACCACACTTATAATCGAATATATGAAGTAAAATTACTGATACGTTTTAATTCGAAATCAAAGTTATTTCTTCCTCAAAGTTATTTAATATGATGCATATATTAACCTGTTGTACAGCTCGTTGAGTTTCCGTGTCAGGGGACTGCGATTCTTTGAGAAGTTGAAGGATTTGACGAAGACCGTTTTCTTCAGGTTGCCACATCGCCATTTTGATTTCTTGATTAAAATAGTACGGCTTCTTACGACATGAACTAAAATTAGACAAATATTCCTGCGCTTTAACGATTATGGGTTAGGTCCTGATTTTCATAATGCATAACATTAATAATGTATCATCAGGTAATTAATTCTTTCTTATTTTTTTAATGTTTAAAAAGACACAATAATTAAAACTAAGTAATTTTTTTATAATATGTTGCAAGGATTAGATGCGACCTATATTTTGTTAATAAGTAAAGGACTATATTTTGCTAAAATTTAAAATTATTTTAAAAAGTGACAATTTGGCATGGCCGAGTGTACCGCTAAAGCACGAAACAAAATGAATATGTAATAGCTCACTTCATGATATAGTTTAAAAAACTCAATCAGCTTTCAAATGTGCAGATACTTAAATTTTTTAAATACCATTTGCCTTTTGAGAGGTGGGGCATCTAATAACTTATGGGAAAATAAAAGTAACCTAAAACATCCCAGTCAAAATAGCACTCGTGACACCAGGGGCGTCTAATCCTACCTCCACCCCAACTTGAATTATTAACCCTTGGTAAATTTCGTGAGTTGGTCATGCCAATCATGGTATTAGTGTTACAATTAGGGTGTTAACCATGAATAATAGTTATTAAAAAATCTACAGTTAGTTAATCTCTTATAGCATTGTTGAGTATTCAATTTTAAAAGAATATTGATAACAATTATAATTTCACTAATAGCTCTATAGTCTTTCACATTATTCTGCTTATCAATTTTGAATTTATCAAATCATGTTACTGTTATAAACATATTTTTTAGGCCTATAATTTTATTTAGGTTATAATACTTCTTAAAATGCATTGTGTATTCGATGGTGATCAGAAAAATAAAATATATATGAAAATTCCATAAAGCAGCAGCGCCGACCAACGTGAGTCCCTGACATATTTTCCTGATGCCCTAAGAGCTCTGAAGGCCTATTTAATGTTGAATAATTAGAATTTCACTAAAATACATTACTGGACTCTAAGCAATATCTAACATTGCTGCAGCAACAACAACAAAATGACAACTACTTCTGCACAGTAAATTCGGAGCAATAAATTAGGAGCAGATTTTCAGAAATACTTTTACTTTATAAGCCAAAAGCTCTGCAGAAGAGCTTTAGGTTAATTAGGAACAGTGGCTTATCTAGGGAATGCGGAGCACACTGTGTGACACCACCCCATGGGGTAACACCAAATTGAAAAATTGTATATTTACAGAGCACACTCTGCTCGGTCTAACCGAATTTCATAAAAGGAAAACCAATCACACGTAAATTTTCCACACACGTAAGCAATCCAATTGACTACTTTAGTAAAAGTTCAAGATTGATGCGTCAGAAATACCCTTTAATTAGGTCAGAGAATACCGTTTTGACAATGATGAAAGGGCGACTGCAGAGTCCGGTAACTTTCGAAAGTGACAGGAACATATATAGGTATATGTATATACCTGAGAAATAAAGCTTTCCATTGACACCAAATACGTCATGGAGGGGAAATTCTTAGTACATGAATCGAATAGGTACAAATCTCTCTCTCTCTATTTCTCTCTCTTTCTCTCTGCGAGGAGAAAACATAAGGGATATGCTTTCATTCTGAAACCCAGATCAGATCATCAGCGATCAAGAAAGTAGCAGATATATTTAGGGATGTTCAACCCAATAGTCTACTACCAGTACTACCAGCAAGTGAAGAAGAGTTATTGGTGTCCGCTTCAAAATTAACCTCTTTCTCTGATGAGTTATCAGAGTATGAACTTTTAAAAGAAATACCAAGGCTTAGATGACACCTAAAGGCAGCTGATATGGAATTTCACATTTGATGTTTTGAAATTCAAAGCGGAATGTGACTTCCTAGAATCTCTTCCAACACTCTCGCTAAGCCTTCAATTATTTCTTACTATCCGTGTGTCTGTGGCTTCATGTGAGCGGAGCTTTTCAAAACTAATGCTTATCAATAACTATTTACGATCCACCATGCGACAGTCAAGGCTTTCTGATCTCGCTCTAATATCAATTTACAGTGATACGGTGAAGGATATTGATCAAGTGATTGACAGTTTAGCGGCTTTGAATACCAGGAAAGGAAAAAGTTAAATAAAATAAATTAAATGTAGAAAAAATTAAAATTTAATTTCACATTTATAAGATATAAATAATAAGAAATTAAAGAACCATTTAAAATGTTACATACAAACAACAGTAAGTCAGTTGTGTTAGTCATATTTTAATTTTGGTGTGACCGGAAATCTGGGAAGGGTTTAAGTATGTCATGAGAGAAAAAAGGTTGCGAAGCACTGATAACTCGCGGTGCTGCTTACCTATCAAGTTCATCTAAAACAGTCCTAGTGGTGTGTTCATGCTCATTTTTACTATGACCGGCTACCTACACGTCAAGTTCCTTTTGGTTTCTCTAGTTATCTTTTCAAATGCCGTTAGCATTATGTGCAGCCCTTGTAAAAGCAACGGAGAGAAGTTATTATATAATTTCATGTCACCCATGGTTGATCTGCTAACACTGACACCAAGCAATTTACCACTCCTTAGCTTTTGCGCCTCCCCCACTTTTTATTTTTACCTTTAAGCACCCACTCCCCTTTTTCGTGTTAATTCTCATGTGCTCTCACGCACTTTCAAAACAATTCTGAAGCAATTAATGTCGTTTGAAAATATTTTACCCCAACATGTTTTATTTTTTTACACATCTCATAAAAAATTCCTAATCTCGAGCGAAAACCATTCAGCAGGCTGCATGCGGTCCACGGGTTGAACAGCACTGCTCTACATAGAGGCGTACAGAGGACACATGGCACCAAAGCAAAGGACTAACGTTGAACCGTTATCAATGAAGCATGGGAAACATCTTAATAAGGGAAAACATTTCTCTTTGAAGTAAAAAGACTTTCTTTTGCGGTCTGCCAATTTCGAGCGCCCACGACACGTGATTGGTTTTGTCACACCCTCAGCGCCGTATCCGTAAATTTGTTTGAACGAAATTTCGTCGACGTAAGTTTGATTTGATCGAATTTTATTTTCAGTTCACACGATCAAATTTTGCATCCTTTTTTTTTCTTGAATGTATTATTTTGTTTCACTACATAGTAGATATAGTGCGCTCAAAAAGAAATTTGCCGAAAATTTGATCGTGTGAACTGAAAAAAAAATTGACCAAATTTCCGTTCCATGAAACTTCCGTCGACGAAATTTCTTTCAAACAAATTTCCGGTAACCCTTCAGTTCGCCTCTGCCTCTACGCAAATATTAGCTTCTTTAGAACACGCTTAATTAAGAGTTTAGAAAACACTTTAAAAATTAATGCAAGTGCTAGATTTTGAAAGAAAAGAAAACACAACTAATATTAACATTTTTTAAATGCTTTATTTTTGTTTCAACAGCAAGTTACAATAAGTCAATAAGCTTTTTCATAAGACCAGCAAATACACATAATTAACAAAATAACTTCTTTTACTTTTAATGAGCACACAATAAATTATACAATTTGAAAATAATCTTACTAAGTTTAGTACTCGTGTTGACACTGAATCAAATTATGTTATGGTCTTTGTAGGGTAGGGCTATAAGCTTACTAAGCTTACCCAAATGAGCTTGACTGCCTAGTGGCGTAGCTAGGACTAGTTCCGCCACGAGCAGGGTGAGAATTTTGCTGTGTCAACCCCCCCCCCCTCTTTTCTGAAATTGGACAAAATGCCACCCAGCATAAAAAGAAAAAAAGTGCCCACACCCCTCTTCCTTATATGCCACACCCACACCCCTCTTCTTATATGTCACACCCACACCCCTCTTCCTATATGCCAAAGTGCTGGGGATCAAAAGAATAAAACAGATTTAAGAAACCCATGAGGACTTCAGACCTTATGCGGGACTGAAGTAAGTAGAAGGGGAAAAAAGGGGGAACATTTGTTATAATGTGTCCAACTTTGGGATTAGATTTTGTTCTTTGTCAGAAAAGAGAATGTAAATCTAGTCCAAGGAAGAAATAATTACACATGGCATGTTTTTTGTTGAATTGGAAGTGAATTACATGCGAAAAAAAAGTTCCAACAATTGAAATGAGTAATATCTTGCTTTGTCAATAAAATGTCTTCTTTATGTATTGGACTTTTAGAATATGTTAAATGGGTTGTGTCACAAGGCTACAAACAAAGAGTGCTCAAACGCAATTCAATTATGTCACCCAAAGATTGCTAGAAAATAGAAGTAGCACCCAACATAGTTATGTAGTGCAAAGTTTGCCAGAATCTACATCAATATGTCTGGCAGAGGTTGGTAGAACCCACATCCTTGTGTCTGACAGGGGTAAAAAGTTTTGATTTATACATTTTGAATGAATGAATGGAGCAATTTAAAAGGAGTTATTCTTTCAAGTGTTACCTAAAGGGCCATCCAATATACCAAAGGTCTAGTTATGTCTACTAGCAACTAACCCACCCCCCCCCCCCCCCAAATCTCTGGACATTCTCCTTCATGTGATCAAGTTTGAGTTAAATTTTATAACCACCCCAAAGGTACTTAAACTGTAAGCACAAATGATTTGAAACACATTTCTAAATATTGCACTAACTAAAACACACAAAATTTTGCGCAAAAGTTTGAAATGAATACTTGTAATTGTAGTTTGTAAATTTTAGTTAAGAGCCAACGACAATTAAGATATAAGTTGGATGCCTCTTCAGCTAGTGAACATACACATTCCCCTTGTACTCATTTGTTGAAATATTCCCTCCTTCCCCTGTTTAAAACAAATAGTGCTCATACAATAATAATAATACTATTCCACATTCCAAATCTGCCACCACATTGCTTTTCCCTTATGGAGCAGATTCATGTTTTCTTCTTTGCTTAGGGAGAAAAACTATGAATAGTTAACACCTTTTTCCAGCAGTGATAAAACAAAAACCCCTCTATTTTGGGCATGTGACTTTTAAAGGTTATAATTCTTACTGTAAAAGATGAATCATAATATAATATAATAATAGGAAATATGTATTTGCATCAAATTAAAATTTCAAAGTCATACTCAATTATTTGATTCACCTCAGTGTAATTTATTGAAATGAATAGGAATATGACGAATCAAAATTACAAGCCTGGGATCTAAAGCTAGTAAAACCTTATTTTTAGGTACATGTTAAGCCTAATGAGCAGGACTCCAGTAATAAATGTTTGCCAAAAAACATCAGTGCATCCATCCCCATGTCACATTTTATTTTAAATCTGAGAATTTAGTAAAAACAGGTTTGATGTATTTTTTCAAGCAATTCTATTTCTATTTTAAATTTTGAAATGGAGGAAATGAATGCTTTTTACTTTAAGCCAGAATCAGTGACAAGAAGTACGGTAGGTATTTTATGGTGTTATAGTTCACACTTGTTTTAATACGTTCCACTTGACATAACACAACTACAAGTACCGGAAAAATATTTAATCGATGAATAACTGCACATGCGACCCAAAAGTAAATACTTCTAAGGAAATGGTAGAACAAGGTATGTGGAAGCTTGAACAGAAAGACAGGACAACACTATAAGAACGTTTTAGCTAAGAGTAAGAGCCTTCCTCAGCTGACAGAACAATTTGTCTTTTCTTTAAGTTGTACACACCCAAATCACTTCCAAGTCATTAAACACTTCTTAACATAAGGCCTGCTGTCATTTAATTGTAGATATAAATCTATCTTTCAGTAGAGCATTTAAGAAACCACAAACCTGCCTTGTAGCTGAAACAGATGCCAAGAACAGTAAGCCCAACACCTTTAAAATATTGAATTAAAAATATTAAATGATTTTCAAATAACAGATCATGCGGCATGTAAAATGCAAATGTTTATTTTCTTAATGACACACAACTTAAAAATATGTACTAACTCCATTTAACGATATTGGCAGTGGCATTAGGTTGAGTAAGCTGGATAAAAGGAGTTAAATCTTCTTAACCAAATTGTGAAATAAAAAAACAAGATAAAAACAACATTCATTTCCCATTCAAAACCTATTACTGTGCAGGCATAAATAAATACCTTATCCCAGAAAATGTGGCACACTGTTATTATGACATGTGATTTACATGTAAATGGAAGTCATGGAAGTTTTATGGAAGAAAAAACAAAATAGTATTCCTAGAATTGATTTCATAGGTAAAAATAGGTTATTTAAAAAAAAAGAGTGAGAAACTGATCGTACTATATGCATCCTTCAAAACACCAGAATTCATTTATCACATTCATATCACCATAACTGAGCACATTTAAAACAATTATTAAATTTTCTCTCTATTGACTCAAATAGACAACATGCCAAATTCAAGAGTCTTACAATTATAGGATACTTTAATTAGACTTAACGTATATTGATAGTGCACTCAATGACTAGATCTCATTCTAAACATGTAGTACACCAAGGTCATTGCACTTCTGTTTTATGACATTGGTAAAAGTTAAATGATGCTCTGAGAAAGTAAACTATGGAAAAAGGAATACTTCTGAAGCACTGACAATAACCAATATGCTTTCAAATATGCATGCCTGTGTTACACCATCAAAGTTTAAGTCTAGTTTAGCATCTCACTGTTGAGAATCAAGTATCTTAAATCAAAAGCTTCTCCAAAACCTTTAATTACTTTGTTTTATCAGTTTCTTCTTTTGTCGGGGTTTCTGCATGGTCTTCATAACTGGAAAAAAAATTATGAAATTCATTTAACGAAGATTGTAGGTTACAGACCTGATTACCCTCGAATTCCTAAAATCGTACAATACCATCTCAAAATCGTAAAATATTTTATCTTAATAAAAAATAAATAAACATACAGTATATAAAATGTATGCAACGACTACTCGCATCACGTGTCAAGTGGTATCGAGTTAAGGTGACATAAAAAAAATTTAACTTCCAAAAGTAGATGACTGCAATCTGCGGTCACTTTGTTTCGCAGAAGTATATTTGCAACAGATATCAATTAATATTTGAGTGAGCGTGCAGATCACATTATCACAGTCTGTCACTGATAAAAAAATAAAGTTACAGTACTGGTGAAATTTAATGTGGTTTTTCAAACTCAAAGTCAGTTCATAAAATAAAATTTATTGAAATAAGAATAAATGAGGACGTCATTTACAAAACCTACCAAGTAACTTTGAGATTTATTTTTCAGGGAAAAGCTGTTTTATTTTTATTAAAAAATAAGAATGAATAGCCATTAAGCTTGTTTCCTTTTAACAAATTATAGTATTTATAGTCTGATAGCTACCACAAGCTGTAACCTTATTATAGTCTCATAACTACCGTACCGTACCACAAACTGTAAATGGGAGAAAAGAAGAGAAGTGTTGGAACCAAACGGTGGTATTAAAAATCTTACAGCTGTTTTATGCTTTCTAAAAAATATTTCAAAGGTCCACTCAGATCCTATAAAACATTATCAAAATCTAATGTTGCTGAGCTGAACAGTTGAGAATGCATTCTGGTTTTAAAAAATAAAAACAAACTAGTTTTCTCAGTTTTTGCACTCACCACAGTATAGCCGAATGAAATAATTGTCATTAAATTATATAATACTGCACCGAAGCAAACAAAACAGAGAAGAGAGTAAAATTGTCATTTGGGCGACTTCCCTAATATTGATCCCCTCAATCAACAACACCCACTAGCCCCCTCATGGCAAACGTCATATAATTATATGCTCCCCAAACAATCCTATTTCTCAATCCATCCATGGCTGGACATAGAAACTAACAACCGAAAATGTAGTTTTTAAATTTTTTAAATCAGAAAAACAACCAGAAAATAAGTATTTTCAACCCGTTCTCTTCAAATCGTATTCTGATAGGTCTTGGCGTACACCAAAATTGTAAGAGTAAACAGGTCTGGTAGGTTACAAATAGGCCTCAAGAGATTTATTCATAATAATTTTAACTTAAAAAACTATCACAATACAAACGCTGTAATCAATTTTGAGTATTTATATTAATTACTACCAAATTAAAAAATTAAAACTTACTTGAACATTGATTTAGTGTCACCTCTGATTAAAGCTAGGAGAGTTGGAAGTCCAAGACAAGCAGGTACTAAATATAACAATGCAGGCTGTAAAAAAAAAGAAAGAAAGAAGCAATGTTCTTTTTTTCAAATATGCCACTTTTACTTTTACATCGAACTTTAATCTTTTAATCCTTCCTTAAGAAATTTATATTTTGGGTATGCTTAATCTTATTTGAATTGTACATCACTATATCTAAAAGAAAATATGAGGGTCTACATATAAATAATTTTAAAAATTACAAAATTAGGTATCAGTACCTGTTTGACAATTAAAATAGTGTAATAAACAAAATGATGCATATTTTTAACTGTTAATATATGTCTCAAAACCATCTTTGCATTGGGGCTATTAAGCACTTAACTGCTAACCTCTAAGTTAAAAACTGGACTTCGACTCTTATAATAATTTCAAGAATTAATACTGGTAATGCTGGAATTTTCCCCATTTCTAAATGTAATTTTTTTTTAATGTATTAGCAATATTTCTTTTTTTAAATTTCAAACGAATATAATTCAGTTTTATTGATTACCATTTGATTTTAATACGATTATATTGAAACCTGATGTTAGACAGGGTGAGACAATATTTCTAAACAGTTAGCTAGAGGAAAAAATAAAAAGGCGATTTTAAAATGAGTTACCTGGGCGTGTTTGAAAAAGTGCATGATGAATATCGTGGTTCCCAGACCCAAACAATAAGCAATAAAACCGGCATAAAAATAAACCGTACTTTTTCTTTTAAGGCTGAAAAAAAAAATGTTAAAAAATAATTGTACATTTATAAAATAAATGTTTTGATGTCTCTAAACAATTATATCCACATAAAAATAATATTTTATGATGAACTTACAACAACAGGCTTATCTCATAATCTTTTGCAAATGGCTTAAACCATACCGGGGAGCAGATACAGTTTCAACTCACCTCATATCATATCGCAAGAGCAGAGCAATAAATATTCCTGGGATGACAATGTCTCCAAGGCCCAGCATAGCAAAGTTCTTAGCACCCAATCCATGCTCAAGTAGATCTTGAGGAAATACCACTGACATAAACATAACCAAAATTAAAACATTTTTTTTTAAAAATCTGAACACAGTAGCAATTCTAAAAGAAATATCAATGAACAGTAAAGAGTTGATTATGTTAATAGAACTTACATTTGATTGGTGCTTCAAAAGATTTGGCCACAGTTACCATCACATTAGTTCCAAACACCTAAGATTAGAAATGTTTAAAAAATGCATAGTGTAATCATTATTTTCACCTACAACTAAAGATAAACTAAATCAAGTACTTTAGAAACTTTCACATCTTGTATCAAAGTCTCTAAAAACATAAGTTCATTATTCTTATTAGCATATAAATAGGACATAATATATAGGCCTATGAAGTACATATTTTAAGATTTCTATATAACTAGGCAATGTAGAAAATTTTAAATTTGAAATTATTAAAATCCCAATTTTGTAGTGAAACAATAATTATCATTTGTATTTGGAAAGATGAAATCAGCAGACCTGAATTTAATGAAATTTGATGGTGACATGAGAATATTATCTAATCACAGTAAAAAAATTACCCAAAAAATATCATAAATAAAAAGTCCGCCTAGCAGGATGAATCCCGTACTGACTCTATTTAGAGATAGCAGTTCTACTCCATTGATAGAGAAGGCAAGGCCAAACAGATTGTTGGCTATCCAATGCTGTAAAAAGAAGATGAACGAATAATAAAATACCAGTATATGATTCATGAAACCCTGGTCATCTCTATTTTTTAAATATACCTGTACCGGTATACAAGTCGTACCTAAACAATAATGTAAAACATAATAAAAATATTAGAAATTATATAAATGTAGTAATACTAGTATGCTTTTGAAATCTTGTAATATTTGGAGAAGGGTATTTGCACTATCTTTCATGTCTCAAAGAAAGAAGACTCAAAAGAAACACTATCCGTTTTAAGAAAAATGTGAACAAAATATATGCAAACTGCGAATGGCTTTTAATAAATGAACATAAATTAAAATATTATTTAAAATCATAAACAATCCTTTACTTTGGCGTACCTTCTTCCACAGATACCAGATGCCAAACACACCACAGATAAGTAGACTAACCAGATCTTTGCGATCAAACTCATAGTTCATCAGATCTGAAGTTAAATAATATAAATACAAAATTATGCAGAGCATGGATAAAGTAAAGCTATTCACAACAGTTGAGGACAGTTGAACTTTAAATAATGAAAAAATAAACATGATTCTTGCAGGAGAGAGAGAATATTTATTTTGAATGGTACTCTAAACATAAAATAATGTGCCAAAAGTCAATAAAATCATTCTTATGTTCATGTGTGTTTAGCCACCAAATGACTTAATGAAAAAATGTGAAAAACCTTGCAGAGATCATGAATGAGGTAGCACTTAGAATTTAGAGCACAAAGAAAACTATGCATGTGTAAAATTATGTTTAACTTTAAAATTTGATAGCACTATGATGACATAATTCATTAAGGTTTTTAATTTTTAACACAGGGGATCGCCGAAAATGTTCAAGTTAATTATTTTAAGTTGGATTTTATACATTATTTTTAAATAAGAATATTATATTTGCTGAATATTAATAAATATATATATGACTTGGATATTTTTGTTTGTTTATTATTGATAGTCTTTGACATTATAACTGCACAATATCAATTATATTTTTTATGATTTAATGTTTACATTAAGCTTATCAACCCTGTAAGAAATAGGTTGTGTCTGCAATAAACTTAGACAAATCTGAATCATGACAGTTAGGGGTGTGCCGGACCCCGGTCCGGAATCCGGTTCCTCCGGATTTTGCACTATCCGGTGAAATCCGGTTCCGCCGGATTTACATGTATCCGGAACAACCGGATTCCGGAATCCGGAATATACCGGATTTCGGAATTTGCCAGATTTTTGTGACTCACCGGATCATAATCTGAAATAAAAGTAATTCTCTTTCCCGAATTCCACACGATCACGATACATTAATCGATTTTTTCGAGCGTTGAGCTTGTTTAATGTTTAATATTCCGTACATACCAGAGGCTAGAGTCAGCACCGCTAATAGTGGCCAATAGTGTAGGGACTTTGATAAGAAAATTTAAACTTTTTGTAAAAATAAACCAATGGCATAGTTGAAAAGATGTAATTTTTTAAAGAATTATAACACCAAAATCATATTTTTAGCTGTTGTAGTTTTAAAGTTATGAATTTTTAAAGTACGACTTGGTTTGTCATTTTTTAACATGGACTGCATCTCCACATTCTGTGATCTCATTCCGCCAATCCCGTCATGCGCAATGACTATATAGTTTATATAAGGCAACGCATTCCCTGCCTTATCACTAAAATACTGTTTAGACTTAGTTTAAACTTTCAACTTTGGCACATGAATAATTAATTAAAGCTTTCCCTGACCAATGGTTTAATAGTTTTTGCACACGGCAAACTCTTATGAATGAAACTCTGAGGTAGTACTACGATACAGTTATGCAAGTGGCTGTGAATGGTTGCCAATGACAACGTGTTGCACACGGTAAATTCTGATCATTTATAATATGGATTCTACCGGGTTGTTAAAGCTCAAATTAAAACATTCCAGTTTAAATGTCTTTAAATGCATTCTGAAACACAAGTTATCAATTATTTTGATGTAAATAGTGATAATATATTAATATTTCCTAAGTATCGTCAACTTCCGCCATTAAAAAGGGGGGCGTGGCCAACCCCATGGCGAAATTAGGTTGAGCGAGCTGCATGACCTGCTGCGAACGCATAGAAACATGGCGTCTCTCGTAAGACACTTATCCAAATGGAACGGAACTCAAATATATATCCAAAGTACTAATTTAATAATAAATAGACACACACATCGGAAAATTAAAAACTCGGATTTTTTGGCGCCGATTGCGAATTCCCATACACAAAAAGTAGTAGTCCACCTTGACTTACCGAAGTATCTACCAATAGTACCAAAATCAGGGAGAAACCGGAATCCGGATTATTCCGGAATCCGGATCCGGCGGATTTCGCATAAGAAAATCCGGATCCGGATCCGGTTGGACAAAACGGATCCGGCACACCCCTAATGACAGTGCGTACTATCTCCTAAATTTTAAGGATCACAATTTTTGAAGTATTGGTAAATAAGACAATTATTCCTAAAATCTTTTTAATGACTGCACCACATCATGGAATGTAGTTACATTACTTGACAAAGTTGGCATAATTACCTTCTTTTTTATCTCCTTTCCCTTGAGTGAGAATTAAATGATAATCTTTGTTGGGAAAAGAATCTGTGAGAAGTTTACTGAAAAGGGGCCTGAGGAGATAACAAAGCCAAATTTAAACTCATGCCACAAATTTTAAAGAAAGTTTATAGGCAGTTCAAAAACCAAAAGTCTAATCAGAAAATGTCCACTTTTATTTAACACACATTAAGAGATTAGTCACACATAACTTACCCTAGTATGTGAGTTAAGGCAAGGACACCAAGAATAAAGAAGTAAGCTGTCAGTAGCAGATTGATATACTCTTTGGAAAATATCTGAATTAAATTGATTGTGGAAAAAAAATTAGAGATTCTTGAAAATGAATCAAAATCAAATTCAATAATCAAACAGGGAATACATGCTTATTTATGATAACAGTTTGCAACTGCGGGAGAAGATCAAGCGCATTTTTAAAAATAATATTTTAATTTTTAAAAGATGTCTGCATAGAAAATGTTATGAAGTTGATAAAAATAATACCTAATTAATAATAACAAATAAGAGCAAAAATTAAATTGTATAAGAGGATTTAAGTATGTGAAATAGTGGGGTTGGGGGCAGAGTAGAAATGAGAGAAAAAATGACAAAAGAGGACAAAAATAAGTTTGTGAAAAGGGAAGATTTAAACGTGAATATAATGTTGGTATTATGGAAAATAAGAATGGGGCTATGTAATAAGAATGGGGCTATGTAGATGGAGTACAGACACATGTTAATTCACATGTTGAAAATAAGGATAAACGATTACTGAGATCTGCTCCACCAATGAAAGCATTAAAATGCATTTTAAGTTTAATATCAAACATCACTACATAAGTGTACCGGTAATAGAATTTGAGAGATATTTATGAGATGGAAATAGGTTTTAAAAATACGGTGAGGCAGAGGCAGATGAAATATTTTATTTTTTAAAGTGGGCATCATGTGTTCACAGCCAAACACACAGATAGCACCAATATATTCTTTTTTCACAAGCTAGAATTTTTTTTGTTGAAATTTTTTAGGAGAATAAATGGGGTGGTCAGCTTAAGAATAGGTCTTAGGAGATTTTATAATTTTCTCCAGGAACATTATTATGCTATTGTGTGTTGATTATTTTTTAAAGTCTTTTTTTTACTTGCAAATATTTATTTTTAAAAGCTTTGTTCATAAAAATTCTGAATGTGTTTCCTCTGAGGAATTTTTAAAAAATATTTGGGTATTTTTTTTTAGAAAGTTGTAGAATGTGGTGAAAAAAATATTCTTTAGCATATTATAATCAAGCAAATCTTGAGATGTGTGTGAAAGCAGTATCACAGATTCAACATTCAGGCACTCAATTCACAAAATACCCGTTGCATTTGTCACAGTTAAAAGAAAGCAGGCTAACTTAACATTGATGCAAAGTAAGGGGCCCTTATTTTCTTTCAGGAAGAGTTGAACTTACTTGAAATACTATGTATATGCCAAAGAGAGCACAGCTTGCAATAATAGGAAACATTGCTGCATCCTTGTGTGACATTGTTTCAGGTTTTTCTCCAGAATCCTGTTTTTTATTTTTTAAAGAAATAAGTAATTACATTTATGTGATGTCCAAGCAGTGAGGGTTTTTGGAAAATGTAGATGGATTCTAAACATAGTTTAACCCAAAAGCTCATCATCCGGCATGGATGGTCATCATAGTTCAAAAGCCTGAAATCCCGTTTCTGACTCCCAGGGTAGATCTGAAAGTTTTTCTTTTTTCAACTTCGGTCGGCTCCAGAGCAAACTGGTCATATGCTGGAAGCCAATGCCAGAATTTCTCCAGCATCTTAGGAAACCTCTGAGTGCCACTATGTTTTCATATATGTGTCACGTAATTAGGCTGAAAGCTACTGACTTTCAAAAAAGTACAAAATAACACACATTTTGAATAAAAAATTACGATTCCGGTTAACTTGACCCCTTTTGCAAGGCCCTGGCAGCAAGGGGAGGGTATAAAAATTTGTTAATTTTAAAGTTTTTATAATGAATAATGGTACTAATACTCATAAAGAAATGTTTTTTTTTTAATTATAATAATAAAATATAAGTCTTAGCCTAGGTACTTTGGTAAAAAAAAAAAAAGTTTAAAAAAATTATACAAATATTAGTTATATGGAGCAAATTTCACATAAAAAAATGAAACCAGAATCAACTTTCTAGCATTAGTACTTTTTGAGCTTTAATGTCTTTCTAAAGTGGGAGTTCATTTGGTCTTTTTTAATATGGACTACACCTCCACATTTGCGATCCCATTCCACTGATTGTGTCAGGTGCAATAACTCTTGTTTTAATGATAATTTTAGACAACTTTTATATTCAGAATTAAAAATTAATTTTAATAATATTATGCACTTACAAATAAATTTTAAATTATCTAAACTATGCATATCAGTAAATAATATGATATATTTATGTATTATGTATTGTATAAAATTATCAATAAATGAGAGTTATAGCTCGTGACGGGAACAGCGGAATGGGTCACAGAATGTGGAGATGCAGTCCAGTGAGTCGATGTTAAAAATTTAGCAGACATTAGTTAGATACTTCGGTAAACCAAGGGAGGCTACTACTTTTTGTGTATCGGAAATGGCAATCTGCGCCGAAAAATCAGAGTTTTTAATTTTCCGATGTGTGTGTCTATTTATTATTAAATGAGTGCTTTCGACTTACATTTGAGTTCCGTTTCCGGCCTTATAATTAGGTAGACATGTTGGCCTACATTTACATTGATTTTTTTTTAATTTTTCAATCGACCTGTTTTTTGAGATTCCCCTTTAAATATAAGGCATCTTTCACTATAAAATTTGTATAGAATTTCAACTTTTATGTCTTTAAAAAAAAGTCTTATTCTGTATTATCTATCGATGTGTATTTGTGTCAATTCTCATCGAGTTAGGACATGTCGGTCACTTGTTATGCTCACTTGAGTGAACCCCTATATGGTAATGTAGCTCAGCCAAATTTCGATAAGGAAGTGGCCACGCCCCCTTTCAGTGCGGGAAGACGCCATTACTTAGGAAATATTTAATTATTTCCACTATTTACGTCAAAATATTTGATAACTTATGTTTTAGAATGAATTTAAATGTTATTGAAAGAATAATATTTTAATTTGAGGTTAAAAAACCCGGTAGAGTCCATATTATACATGATCAAAATTCGCTGTGTGCAAAATGTCATGGCGGCCATTCACAGTGACTTGCATAATGGCTATTATTTACTACTATCTCAGAGATTTCATTCATAAAAGTTTGCTGTGTGCAAAAACTATTAAACTAGGTCAGGGAAAGCTTTAATTAATTAGTCATGTACCAAAGTTGAAAGTTCAATAGTTCCCAAACATCAAACAGTACTTTCGTAATTAGGGCATGAGTAGCCTTATATAGACTATATAGCAAATATCGGTATAATGGACATCGTAGATTTGGTAAACAGAAAAGCCATATATTAATACATTATATTAAATTTACTGATATAAATAGTGCATAGTTAGATTAGCTACAATTTATCTATAATTGTTAACATTATTAAACTTATTTTTTTAATACAGCATTAGTTCTGAAAATAAAATGATCATTAACTCATTCCCGAGTTTGCGATTAAATGCGTCTTTTACGGATTTCGCCGGATGCGTCCAAATGCATCCCGGCGCATAGCGACACACCTCTCTCATATCTATTTAAAAATAGCAATGAAATCTCGCATCCCTCGAGACTTACGGCGATGGCGTGGTTCAACGTGATTTTAGTTTAAAAACCGGAAGTTTTTATCTTGTTTCACTTTAAAACTACGTGTGCTTTAGTACGGCGCGTCTATAAGTAGCATGTGTTCGTCCGAGGTGCCGAAAATCGATTTTTTGGCCATTGTTCATTATTTTTTCCCCACTAATGTTATATTTATATTAAACCTTATTCATTCTTTGATGCATTTGTTTTTAATTCGTTAACATTAAATAATATTTATTAGCTTAAATACATATTTAAAAAATGTAAACAATTTCGAAACGGGGTTACTTCCCTTTCTCAGGCAAATAAATTAAATACGGAAGTAGCATTGCAGGAGGGAATGAGTTAAAACAAGAGTTATATAACTCGTGACGCGAACAGCGGAATTGAGTACCAGAAAATGGAGATGCGGTCCACGTTAAAAAAGGACAAATTAAGTAGTACTTTAAAAATCCATAACTTTAAAACTACAACAGCTAAAAATATGATTTTGGTGTTATAATTCTTTTCAAAATTAGCTCTATTCAACTATGCTATTGGTTAATTTTTTTAAAAGGTTTTAATTTTGTATCAAAGTATCTAACGTTAGTTATTTTATTTTTATACGGCCGCCATCTTAGTTGCCATGACCTGTTCACAGGTCGTGACAACCAAGATGGCGGCTGTATGATAGATACATCATGGCACCAATTGTCTGCATTTACCCCCCTAAAAACTATTAATGATTAACTATCCAATTTCAATTATGAAGCATATGCCTAATACTCAATACTAGATACTTCGATGAAAGAAGGGAGACTACTATTTTTTTTGTATCGGAAATGGGCGTCGGCGCCGAAAAATCCGAGTTTTTAATTTTCCGATGTGTGTGTCTATTTATTATTAAATTAGTTCTTTCCACATATATTTGAGTTCCGTTTCCGGCCTTATAATTTGGAAGACATCTTGGCCTACATTTCTAGCCAGCTATTTTGCTTTTTTCAATCGACCTTTATTTTGAAAATCTTTGGTATATATAAGGCATCTTTGCATACAAAATTTTTTGTGAAATAATAAGATAAGGTCCTTTTTTATTAAATCTGTATGAGCATTAGATATTGATCTATATCTGTGCCAAGTTTCATTGATGTAGGTTGTGTCCCACGTTTGTTACACTTGTCACAGTGACCCATATCACCATTAGGTGGCTCAGCCTAATTTCGACATGGCTTGGGCCACGCCCCCTTTTTAATGGCGGAAGTTGCCGATACTTAGGAAATATTTAATTATTACCACTATATACATCAAAATATTTTATATTTTGTGTTTCAGAATGCATTTTGAAGACATTTAAACTGGAAATGTTTTAATTTGAGCTTTAAAAACCCTGCAGAGTCCATATTATAAATGATCAGAATTTTCCCTGTGCAACACGTTGTCATTGGCAACCATTCACAGCCACTTGCATAACGGCTACGTTGTAGTACTATCTCAGAGTTTCTAAGTATTCTCAAACGGCACACGTTTTCGATAATTTGGTAACCAGTCCGAAAGCTTTTATTAATTATTCATGTGCCAAAGTTGAAAGTTTAAAATAAGTCGACCCTAAACAGTATTTTAGTGATAAGGGAATGCTTTGCCTTATATAAACTATATAGTCATTGCGCATGACGCGATCAGTGGAATGAGGTCACAGAATGTGGAGATGCAGTCTATGTTAAAAAATGACAAACCAAGTCGTACTTTAAAAATTCATAACTTTAAAACTACAACAGCTAAAAATATGATTTTGGTGTTATAATTATGTTTAAAATTAGCTCTATTCAACTGTGCCACTGGTTTATTTTTAAAAAATGTTTACATTTTTGACCAAAGTATCTAGGGTAAGGCAGGGCATTAAGCACCACCTTTTTTTGCTTTCTGAGAATTTTCTCTCCTACAAAAAAAATACAATGCCTACTTATACTTTTAAGGTTTATTATGACAAAATAATGTCTTTTGCCTTAAACCAGGCTGAAATAAACAACAAAAACATCAAATTTTAGGAAATATAGCTTTTCAAAAAAGTTTAATGAAATTTGACACAACAAATGAATATGGGGTAATAAGCACCGGGGCTATGGGGTAAAAAGCACCTTGTCTACTGTGTGCAAAAATCGCAAACCCACTCCTGTCCTTCTAAGTCTTCCAAAGTGTATGATGTATTGACGCAACTTAGGTGGTACCATATGTCGCAAATGTCACATTGGACCCAGTTGAAGCCCTCAGATTGTCCACAACGTCCATAATGCTCTTCATTTTCTTCATCCTGATTACATGTTGCAAGAGGACTGCGAGACCTGATACTGCTTGGAGAGGTCTGCCTTTTGCCCTTCCCTTTGCACTTTCCCTTTCCTTGTCCCTTTGCTGCTACAATTGTTCTTTGAGCACTTTCTTCTGAAGTCAGACATTCCCCATACCTGAAACGTTGAATGCGCGCAGACCTCCCACTATTTTGACCTTTCATCATTGGTTCAAATTGTTTCATAAAAAAGTCTTTTAGGGTTGAACCCTCCGATGCAAGTGGGATATCAATATGACTTGACGTTGAAGTAGAATGTTCAGGCTGATGATTTGGTGTTGGTGGAGGCTGCTGAATGGAATCAGCTGATGTGGAGGTTGACGTAGTCGGCTGAACGGCGGACAAGAGTGAGTCATCTGTCAGAGTGGATGGTTCAAAACAGCATGTGGGGTTTGGTGGTGGAGCACTTCTGCCACCAGCATTGTCCATTGACACTTGGGGCCTTTTAGGTACATTAACCCGTTGTTTATTGAAAGGGCACAGTCCTGTTGACTCAAA